GCCACCATGCCTGGCCAGCTTTCCTACTTTTCAACTTGAGTTTACTGAGGGATTGAAACATTTATTCCAACAAAATGTGCCTGATGTGATCTCTCAATGATTAAAGACACCTGCTTAGCATGCATTAACTTCAGCGCAGTATGTGCACCTCTCTGAGGATATCTCTACTAAGCCCTCAGTGACTGATGCTGCTTCACTTTCTTCAGGTGTATAAATTGAAAAGGCAATTTTTACCTGCTATGAAGTGCCAAGAAAACAGGACTTGGCGCCTTGGGCATGCCTTTGGTCTTGTTACTGACTATCAGATGTTGCTTGAGCATATTTGGAAAATAACTTTGTATGTTAAACATTTGGAAAATCAGAGTATTATACAGCAAATCACTTCAAAGAGGGAAAATACCGAACCATAAAGCTTAGCCAGATGTGATACAATCATTTCACTGAAGATAGAGATAGGTAAAACTTTTTCTTTCAAGTAATGAACACATTTGATTGTAATTTGAGCTAAATAATTATATTTCCTTAAAAAAAAACTTAGAATGTTAAAAGTCTGAAATCCATTTCAGCAAGTTTAAAACATTTGGGTGTTTAAGATATTATCACAGGTCTGTTATTCCAGGTTCAACTTACTTGGAATTCTGGATTCTAAATATTTTTAATTGAAGTTAAAGTGAAATCAAATGTAAATTAACCTGTGATTTTTTTTCGTTCTGATTATTTTTAGGTAAGTAAATGAAGTTAGGATGTGAGACTAGCGAATAACATTTGCTGAGAAAACCCATTACTGTGAAAAAATTCCAGGAGGAAATTGAAGAGGGGAGATGGAGCAAAGTTGATTAAAAACAACATGAAAATGGCTAATACATTTTGGGAAACTTTTTTTTTTTGAGACAGTTTCACTCTTGTTGCCCAGGCTGGAGTACAATGATGCGATCTCGGCTCACCGAAACCTCCACCTCCTGGGCTCAAGCAATTCTCCTGCCTCAGCCTGCCAAGTAGCTGGGATTACAGGGATGTGTGTACCACCACACCTGGCTAATTTTTTGAATTTTTAGTAGAGATGAGGTTTCTCCATGTTGGTCAGGCTGGTCTCGAACTCCCGACATCAGGTGATCTGCCCGCCTCCTCCCGCCACGCCCAGCCTTTTTTTTTTTTTTTTTTTTTTTAAAGAAACAGGTTCTTGCTTTGTCACCCAGGCCTGGATGCAGTGGCACAATCATAGCATAGCAATCCTCCACCTCAGCTTCCCAAGTAGTAGGGACTACAGACAAGAGCCATTATGCCTGGCTAATTTTTTAATTTTTTGCAGAGATCGGTTTTGCTATGTTGCCTAGGCTGTGGGAAACTCACTGTTTTCTTTTTCTTTTTTTTTTTTTTTGAGATGGAGTCTCACTCTGTTGCCCAGGCTGGAGTGCAGAGGGGTGATCTCAGCTCACTGCAACCTCTGCCCCCCCAGGGTTCAAACAATTCTCCTGCCTCACTCTCCTGAATAGCTGAGACTACAGGCGCACACTACCATGCCTGGCTAATTTTGTATTTTTAGTAGAGATGGGGTTTCACCGTGTTGGCCAGAATGGTCTCGAATTCATCACCTTAGTTGATTTGCCTGCTTTGGCCTTTCAAAGTGTTGGGATTACAGGTGTGAGCCACCGTGCCCAGCACAGTGGAAAGCTCTTTATGACAATTAATAGATGAGTTCACTAGGGATGACAGCACACCCTCCAGAAACCATATTTACTACAGATCACCCACAACTATTACGCTCAATACTAACTACAGCTAGTGTTCGACTTATGACCACAGTTGGGACCGCGAACTGGTTGTAACACGATTTGGTCGTAAGTTGAGTAGGCTATATGTACAGTTGAAATGGTACACGCAGAGATGGTAGTGCTGCCGGAAGCTGGTCTGCACTGTCGTACACACAGCTGGGCAACGTTTGCGCTGCCAGACGCGGAGCAGTCGTGGCTAGCGATTGTGGTTGTAAAGTCGAATGGTCGTAAGTTGCATAGGTGGTAAGTCGATCAATACCTGTAAAGGGCCAGAGGATTGGATTCACATAACATTAAAAAATGTACACATACATTTTGTAAATGTAAGGATACTATTTGCATTAGTAAACAACTTACCTGTGTTCCTAAAATGTCATGCAAATGATTCTTGCAAATCTGTTTTAACTAGGGAGAAAAAAATGTATTGAGATAGTTATACTAGACCTATCAACCACTAAAACTGAACTTGGAAGAAAAGATCCAGGAGTTCATAGCTTAATTCTAAACCATCTATGCTTCTCACTTAAAAACAGAGAAGTGCTGATGTAAATGAGTTGCGAGGTTATCTGACTACCTTCAAAGAACATCCTGCAGAATCTTTGAAGGTTTTAGCCCTGGAAGGATTCCTAGGTGAAAAGGGGGCACCTATTTCATATTCTACTTTTGGATGCCTCCTTGCTTTTGTTTTATGATCTTGACCAGGCTTCTTGTGTAGGTTACAACTTATTTCTGGGTGTGAACCCGGGCTCCTTTTGTAGGTTATAGTTTATTTGTGGGTGTGAACCCCCTTCTTTTGCCTGGTTCAATTTCTTCAGTGGTCTAGGAAAGAGACCCCTCCAAGCAGTGATCTGTTTTAAATCCGTGGGCCTCTCTACCACTCACTTCTTAGCGCAACCCCCCTTCACATTCCTGCTGCTTGGGAAGATACTGGGGACAAGAAAAGCCTCATAGATTAAGAAACCATTTTCTCTCTAGGATGGGCACAAGGTGCAGGGCTATTTCCTTACATGAGTAGGTATTTTAAAACCTGGGCAGGAGATGCCATGCTGTAAATTCAAAATTAAAAAAAATTTAATGCGAACCTTGTTTTTAACTTCTAGAATAGTCTTTACACTATTCTCCACCACCTTCCCGTTGGCTGGGTAGAAATAAGGACCACCAAATGAGAACAGGCTATTTACTCAGAGCTGGCTAGGGAGTTAGCCGCAATCACTTGGTTTGGCAGAGACTCACAGGCAGGCAGGGGAATGGAAAAGCTCTACATATAGCGAAGAGGGAGAAACTTCAGGTTGGCTCTGATTGGTGGCTGCTGGCACCGGGAAGTTGGAGGAGGGTTAACTAGAAGCAGGGCTTCTTATGTGATTGGTTTGTGGGGGGAGCACATTTGGCTTTCTCTGATTGGCCCAGAGCTGGAAGCAGCGGCAAGAAATAGGGAAGCTGCCAGTTAAAAAGATCAAGTCCTGACCATTCTGGGCCGATTACTGCAGAGGTCATGGGTAGGAGTTTTAATGTCACATAGGGTTGGCCATTGTTTGTATATTCAGTCTCTCAATTGCATGAGACCCAGATTTTTAGTTTCTCTTGACCTAGTTAGCTTTTAGCTCCAAAGTTTTGTTTAACTTGAGAGAAAACAGCAGTTCTATTATTTCTATCAAGGATAAACAGACCTTGGGATCTGAAAAGTAATTATGGAAACATACATAAATATCTTTATAGTGAGGGCCAGGCAGAAGAATCACCCTCTGCCTTCAGGTTCTGCATTTCCTTACAGAATTTGTTTCCATTATAGCTGACGCTTCAGTAGGTTCCTTCCCTTTGGGGGAGGCTCGGCCCCCTCCGCCCCCACTTTCTCGAGTCTCGCCCTTCGAAGGCAGGAGAAAGGGTTATGCACTACCACGCTCCGCGCCTTACAGCCCAGTTTCTCCCCCAGCCACCCTTTCCTCCCAGGTGCGCTCTCTCGGCTTGCTATCCTTCCACCAGGCCTCCCCACTTCTCCTGCGCAGCGCCCCCTGCGCGGCACCCTCACAGCCCGGCCCCTGCCCCACCCCCAGTTGTGCCTTCATCTCCCTGTTCCTTCTCAACAGGTCTCCCAAGATACACCCTCCCAATCGGGTCCCCTGCCGTCCTCTCCCGGCCCACGCTCAAGCCCGGTGCCTTCCTCCTGCAGCCCCCCGAGGCGCACTCTCAAGCTCCGTGCCTTTGCTCCCAGTCCCCCAGGGGCACCCTCGAGCCTGGTACTCTTCCTATGGGAACCCCTCGGGCGCACCCTCAAGCTCGGTGTAGCCGCTATACCATCCCCAGGCGCGTCCTCTGCCCGTGCCTTCCCCCAAGGTGCACCCTCAAGCCAGGAGACCTCCCCCTACCGGGCGCGCCCTACAGGCCCGCCCCGCCCCTCCGCGCAGCGCCCCCCGCGCGTTCTCTCGAGTCCTCCCTTCTGCCTCCAGGCCCGGCCAGTCCTCTTTCCGGCCCCCACGCTCAGAGGTGAGCCGGCGTCCCCGCGCCGCTAGCTCCGCGCCTTCCTGCATGGAGGTGCGCCCCGAAAGGCTCAGACGCGGCCCCCTAGGCCTGGCCTCAGCCTCCCTGGCTCGCAGGAGACGTCAGGTCAGCTTCCTGTCCCCGAGCAGCTGCCCAAGGGCCAGTTTTCAAAGCATATCTTTGGTCATGGAATAAGCAGATCCTCCTCTGGTCTCAAGTCCCAATTTTTACTTTGGAGGGGCGAAGGCAGGGCGACCCTTGCCAGCCACTATTCCCCCGTCACTTCGCAGCTGTGGAAAGCAGCCTTCCTGTCCCTTCGGAAAGAAACTCGTATTTCCCCTCGAACTTTTTCCGTCGGTGTGAGGAAAGAGCCCTCCATTTTCTTCTCAGGAGGCTTTCGCGGCCCGGCTTCTTCCCACCACCAGGCAGGGGAGGCAGTGACGCCGCACCCGCGGCGGCCGAGGTTTCGCCATCTTGAGTGGAGGAGGAGCCGCGGTCGCCGCCATGCGGAGAGGCAGGGAAAGAGGGAGGAGGCGGCGGGCGGGCGAGCTGGCGAGCGAGGGAGGGGGCAGAGGCGCCGAGTTAGCTCAGCCCGGCGGCGACTTCGGCGGCGTCACGAGAGCGGGCAGCGGAGGAGGTAGGGCTGGACGGCCGGGGGAGCCAGCGGCGCTGGCGGCTGGGCTGCGCGGCCCTCGGTGCGAGGCGGGGGGGTGGGGGGGGACAGGCGGCAGGAGGCCGTAGCGAGGGGGCCGGGTGGGGGCGGGCGGAGGTTTCCGAGGAGGAAGGAGCGGCCGCCATTTTGGGAGCTTCGAGTCAACAATAAAGGACTGAGGGTGCTGAGCGGGAGTGGCCTCCTTGATAGGACTCGGCCGGAGCCGCGAGGCCAAGGGTGAGGTGGTGGGGTCGAGGTCAGAGGTGCTGTGGGGGCTGCGGGGAGTCCCCCGGGCTGGCTTTGAGGGGCCATGTCAGGCGGAGGCCTAAGGCCTGGCCGGGCCTGGGGAGGAAGGCGGGCGGCAGCTGTTTGGGGTGGGGGCGCCTGAGAGGAGGCGAATATGGGAATGTGGTGCGCGGCAGGGTCGGCAGGAGGAGCGGGCTAAGTGCTCGGAGGAGCTTTATGGAAGACGAGGGAATATGAGGCCCAAGGGGGCGGCAAGGACTTAGGGGGATGATGGTGGAGGTTATAGGGTACGAGGCGGCCCTATAGGGGGCGGCAGGGACATGTATTGGAGAGCTCTGTTTAGAAGCGAACCCGCCGCTGCTTGATTGCAGTAGGCCTTGCAGGTCAGTAACAGGAGGGTGCTTATGGAGCTCCCGACTGTTGGAGGAAAGGAGGGGGATTTCTGGGTTGGGGGGATCCCTTCGGGGTCTCTTGGGGAGAGCCCCTATTGTTTCCTACTGGCAGAGCTGGTTGCTGGCTCAAATTGCGCAGATAGGATTGCAGAGCCCCAACCTTTTGTGTTTATGTTCAGAGGGAGCTGGCTTGAAGTGTGAGTGTTTTGAGGGGTGGGGGGGGGGGCAAGAAATTATTTCCCTACAGTTACGGGGCTTCCGTCATTGGCTTGTCTCTTTCCCCATCTCTCTCTGTTTTCTCTTCCACAGCCCCCTTTTCCCTTCAGAATAAAACCCTGTCACCCTTGCAGGCAAAGCTTAGAGAAACTGCTGCGCTGCATTTGCAAACAAAAGCTCTTGTTGGCGATGACGATACTGTTTTGGGTGTGAAACTGTCAATCGCTAACTACGATCTGAGGAGTGCTGTAATTAACTCGCTAGGGGCTCCTCCCAACTAGTCTACGTTTCTAGTCTACGTTTCTTTTCTTTTTTTTTTTTTTTAAATGTAGAGCGATAACTTGAAAATCTAAATTGGGAAGGGGTAGGAGGAATATTTCCTCTGAGACAAAGCTGCAGTGCAGGTTTCAGTTTAAGAAGGGAGCAGTTATCACATAGTCTCATTTTGGATTTAAGGAGATAGGAGGTCTTACTGTGCATGATGGACAGTAATGATGATATCATTTGGTTTTTAGAGGTGGCCCTTTTCATCCTCTTAGTGCTCTGCGAACAGCTAAGTCTGTGTGAACTGCGTGATACCGCTGATCATAATATAAACCCGTCAATACAGGAAAGTAGCTGTTAACCATATCTGCTTAAGAGGTCATAGTTAGAAGGACTTCAGAATAAACAACTTTGTGTATGTGATCAGGATTTGCTTGTGAGCAACTTGTTCATTTTTTTTTTTTTTTTTTTTTTTTAAGGAAGGCGTAATCAGGGAGCATTTTCTCATAAATTTTGAGTTTCAAATGCTTTGGTGTATGGCAGAATCAACACTCGTAAGCTAGTGTATTTTAGGTAAGAAATGTAATGGGGTTGCCAGGTGCGGTGGCTCACTCCTGTAATCCCAGTTCTTAGGGAGGCCGAGGCGGGTGGTTCAACTGAGGTCAAGAGTTCGAGACTAGCCTAGCCAGCATGGTGAAACCCCGTATCTACTAAAAACAGAAAAAATTAGCTGGGCGTGGTGGCGGGCGCCTGTAATCCCAGCTACTCGGGAGGCTGAGGTGGGAGAATCGGTTGGCTTGAACCTAGGGGACACGAGTTTGCAGTGAGCCGATATCATGCCACTAACACTACAGCCTGGGCGGCAGAGCTAAACTCCACTTCAGAAAAGAAAAGTAAAGTAATGGGGTTAAATGAAAAGCCAACACAGTAGAACTTTGTTTTCGGGTCTTGGTATGTTTTTATTAACAATTGAAAGTAAGACTTAAGCCGGTGCGGTGGCTCACCCCTGAAATTCCAGCACTTTGGGAGGCTGAGAGGCAGGCAGATCACTTGAGGTCAGGAGTTGGAGACCAGTCTGGCCAACTTGATGACACCCCATCTCTACCAAAAAATACAAAAATTAGCCGGATCTGTTATCTCAGCTACTCGGGAGGCTGAGGCAGGAGGATCGCTTGAACCCAGGAGACGGAGGTTGCAATCAGCTGAGACCGGGCCACTGCACTCCAGCCTGGGCAACAGAGTGAGACCCTGTCTCCAAAATAAATAAATGAATACATACATAAAAGTAAGATTTCCATTTATAGGATAATTTTAAAATGAGGTTGGCCATTTTTGTTTTGTTTTTGTTTTTGAGGCGGAGTTTTGCTTTTTTGCCCTGTCTAAAGTGCAGGGCACCATCTTGACTCATTGCAGCTTCCGCCTCCTGGGTTTTAGCAATGGTCCCGCCTCAGCCTCCCAAGTAGCTGAGATTACAGGTACCTGCCACCAAGCCCAGCTAATTTTTGTATTGTAGTAGAGACGGGGTTTCACCATGTTGGTCAGGCTGGTCTCGAACTCCTGACCTCAGGTGATCCACCAGTCTCTGCCTCCCAAAGTGTTGGGATTACAGGCGTGGGTCACTATGTCCATCCTACCAGTTCTTTTTTTTATTATTATTTTTTTTAAAGTATTAGATTTACTACTTTGGGTTTCTTGGAAAGTTTTTTTTGTTTGTTTTATTTTTTGAGATGGAGTCTTGCTCTGTCACCTAGGCTGGAGTGCAGTTTTGCCATCTAGGCTCACTGCAACCTCTGCCTCCCAGGTTCAAGCAATTCTGCCTAGCCTCCTGAGCAGCTGGGACTACAGGCACATGCCACCATGCCCAGCTAATTTTTGTATTTTAGTAGAGACGGGGTGTCACCATATTAGCTAGGCTGGTCTCGAACTCCTGACCTCGTGATCCACCCGCCTTGGCCTCCCAAAGTGCTGGGATTACAGGCATGAACCGCCGTGCCCGGCCGGAAAGTTTTCTTAAAATTACTGTGTTTAGTCTTCCACAGATTTATTTATTTTTTTTTTAGCACAGGAATTTTCTTGTTTAATTAATACTATTTAAAATCAGATTAGTTATTAGCTGAGTTTATTATAAATGAATAAAATTATTAGTCATCTTTTTTTGTCAGTTTCAAAAAAAAAAATAGCAATTTATGCAAAATTTGTCCTTAGGATCATTACTTGCTGAATACATTATGGCAGAAATACACTATTCTCTTGACTGCTTTATTTATTGTTTTAAAGGACAAAAACAAAAGAGAAAAAACATTTTTCTTCAAGCTTGTTTTGTTTTGTTTTGTTTTGTTTGAGACAGGGTCTTGCTCTGTCACCCAGGCTGGAGTGCAGTGGCGTGATCTTGGCTCACTGCAGCCTCCGCCTCCCGGGATCAAGTGATTCTTGTGCCTCAGCCTCCAAGTAGCTGGGACTACATTACCGGTGTGCACCACCACGCCGGCTACGTTTTGTATTTGTAGTAGAGATGGGGTTTCACCATGTTGTCCAGGCTGGTCTCGAACTCCTGACCTCAAGTGGTCACCCACATTGGCCTCCCAAAGTGCTGGGATTACAGGCGTGAGCCACCATGCCCAACCTATAAACTGTAATAGTTGAAATTCATAAGGACACAAAGGTCTTTTTTTTTTTTTCCTGAAAGTGTAAAGTTCAAGTCAAAAGCTCACTTAAATCTGTAAGGACTCTAGTTGCTATTAGAAGTAGAAGAAAATTAATGAATTGTCTTGTCATATAATATAGGTTTACACTAAGTAAATTGTGTGATACTTCAGTGAGTTGTAATGCAATTAAGTATAATGAATCACTTTTCAGAGATGTCAGAGACTTAGCGAATTCATTGGGGAGGAAACTGAAGGGAAGAGATTGTCATTTGACAAGTAGTGCTAATTTATTCGTGCCTTTCTACCTAATCTCTGGGTTGCTTTGAATTAACAATTTTAAATGTTTTAGATTGGCTTCATTGTGTTTTTGAAATAGTTCAAAGTTGTGTCTTTCCAAGCTCGGCTAGTGATTTGTTCTAAGTGTAGCTATGGTATTAATTCTTTAACGTAAAAGATGAGAGTTCTTCTAAAGGGATTCATTTGAAAAGAAAAGTTTTTCTATTGAGTTTACTGATTTAATTTTGTTTGTTTGTTTCAGATTGACGTGAGTGAATTCAGATATAATTCAAGCTTGTTAGAGGGCTTTTTAAAAATAAAAAGTTGATTCTGTGCAAGAGAGCAAGTTACTGCTGCTTACCGTTCAGAGACTTACAGGTGCTTGCCTGCATTGCAATAAAGGACTCATTTATTGAGCAAGACATATTTATCTCTTCATTTTGGAGAGCCTAATAAACTGTTATTACAGTTTCTCTACTGACTTTCAAAAGTTTTGAAGTTTGAAAGACACCTTTGCAACTAAAACAGCATGAGCACGGCCAGAACAGAGAACCCTGTTATAATGGGTCTGTCCAGTCAAAATGGTCAGCTGAGGGGCCCTGTGAAGCCCAGTGGTGGCCCTGGAGGAGGGGGCACACAGACACAGCAACAGATGAACCAGCTGAAAAACACCAACACAATCAATAATGGCACTCAGCAGCAAGCACAGAGTATGACCACCACTATTAAGTAAGTGTTAGACTAAATCATAAACACTCTTGGGGAACCAAGATTTTTGTTTCTTTGGTGTTGACTATTAATACTTATACCTTAATTTAACAGTTTTGGTTACAAATAGAGAACAGATGACTTTGTTTTATGGTCAGTAGGTATTTGCAATAGAATAGTGTGTTTCTGCCATAATTTTTTCAGCAAGTAATGATCCTAAGGACAGATGACATACACAAATTTTGTATAAATTATTTTTTGAAACATTTCTGGCGTTCACAATTAGTGAAGAAGTTATGGCCAAGCACAGTGGCTCATGCCTGTAATCGCAGCACCTTGCGGGGTCCGAGGTGGGTCACCTGAGGTCAGGAGTTTGAGACCAACCTGACCAATGTGGAGAAACCCCATCTCTACTAAAAATACAAAATTAGCTGGGTGTGGTGGTGCATGCCTGTAATTCCAGCTACTCGGGAGGCTGAGGCAGGAGAATCACTTGAACCTGGGATTCGGAGGTTGCGGTGAGCCAAGATCGCGCTATTACTCCAGCCTGGGTAACAAGAGGGAAACTCCATCTCAAAAAAAAAGTTATTAGCTGAGTTTGTTATAAATGAATAAAATCATTAGAGCCATCTTGTTTTTGTCAGTATAGTTTTTTTTTTTTTTTTTAGTGTTAATGACTGCACCTTACCTTAGTTAAACAGCAGATAAAGCCAACTTTAAGTTTTAAATTTAAAGACTCAGTCTGAGTCTTTAGCGGCTTTAAAGACTTGCCCAACCTTCCGAACTCCAAGCAAAATTCACTCATAATTTTTTTTTAGCTTATGAAACTTAGTATTTTCACTTTTAAAAAAAAGCTGGCTGGCTGAGGTGACTCATGCCTGTAATCCCTGTTCTTTGGAGAGGCCAATGTGGGAGGATGACTTGAGTCCAGGAGTTAGAGACAAGCCTAGCCAACATAGCAAGACTCTGTGTCTACCAAAAAAAAATTTTTTTTTCTTTTACACAGAAACCAAGAGGGAACTAAGAATTGAACTCACAGAACACAATTTTGAACAGTCTCAAAAACTTTTTGTTAACTTTAAAATTGAACCACCTCCTTACTAGAGGGTATTTTTTAAAGCTTAAATTATGTACGCTATTTGTCACTTTTAAGTGCATACTTTAAATTACAGTATTCGAATGGTAACCATTATTCTAAAGATTAAGATTTAAGATTCTTGACTCCAGTTGACATTTGGCTTTTGTTAAGAACTTGCCATAGAAAATAATTTAATCTGTAGGAATCTTTATAAGATACTGACACTGGGTTACTAAACTGAGGTGTATGTTTTGTACGACCTAGATCTTTTCAGTTCCTACAGAAAAAGAGCTTATGCAAGCTACAGACCGTCATACAGTTACTGTATGTGGTTCACTAGGACCTCTAAGAACTAATTTTCAACAGAATTGGTTTGGTCACTGGGAGAATTGGTGTTACTGTATCTTCTATTATTTTAAGGTGAATTCTTTAATTGGTATAGAAATGGATATTTCCTTAATTGTTGTTTGTCTTGACAGAACATAACTAGGTTAGCAAAATTGAGACTGTTTTTAATTGTTTTTTATAATTTTTTTTTTTTTTTTTTTGAGACAGGGTCTTACTTTGTTGCTCAGACTGGAGTACAGTGGCATGATCATGGCTCACTGCAGCCTCAATTTCCCAGGCTTAAGTGATCTTCCTGCTTCAGCCCTACAAATACTGGGGACTGCTGGCATGCGTCAGTAGAGATGAGGTTTCGTCATGTTTCCCAGGCTGGTCTTGAACTCCTGGGCTCAAGTGATCTGTCCACCTTGACTTCTCACAGTGCACCTGTTTTTAATTATTATTATTATAATTTTTGAGACGGAGTCTCACTCTGCTGCCACGGCTGAAGTGCAGTAGTACAGTCGTGACTCACTGCAATCTCCACCTCCTGGGTTCAAGCGATTCTTCTGCGTCAGCCTCCTGAGGAGCTGGGATTACAGGTGTCCACTGCCACACCCAGCTGATTTTTGTATTTTCAGTAGAGATGGGGTTTCACCATGTTGTCCAGGCTACTCTTGAACTCCTGACCTCAGGTAATCTGCCTACCTTGGCCTCCCAGAGTGCTGGGATTACAGGTGTGAGCCACCATGCCCAGCCTTTGAGAATGTTTTCTATTTAAGAAACTCTGGGGCTGGGTATAATGGCTCATGCCTTTCATCCCAGCACTTCGGGAGGCTGAGGTGGGAAGATACTTGAGGCCAGGAGTTTGAGACTAACCTGGGCAACATATCAAGACCCTGTCTCTAGAATATTTGCATTAAGTCTCTATTTTGTTTTTTATTTATTTATTGACTTGGAATCTTGCTCTGTTGCCCAGGCTAGAGTGCAGTGTTGTGATCTTGGCTCACTGCAACTTCTGCCTTCCAGGTTCAAGTGATTCTTCTGCCTCAGCCTCCTGAGTAACTGGGACTACAGGCATGGGCCACCATACCCAACTAATTTTTGTATTTTTACTAGACAAGAGGTTTCACCGTGTTGGTCAGGCTGGTCTTGAGCTCTTGACCTCGTGATCTGCCCCCCCTTGGCCTCCCCAAGTGCTGGGATTACAGGTGTGAGCCCCCGAACCTGGCTTATTTGTTTATTTTTGAGACAGAGTCTCCCTCTGTTACCCAGGCTTGAGTGCAGTGGCGTGATCTCAGCTTACTGCAGTCTCTGCCTCCCAGATTCAAGTGATTCTCCTGCCTCAGCCTCCCGAGTAGCTGGGACTGCAGTTTTGTGCCACCATGCCTGGCTAAATTGTATATTTTTAATAGAGATGGGATTTCACTATATTGGCCAGGCGTGTCTCGAACTCTTGACTTCAAGTGATCTGCCCACCTCGACTTCCCAAAGTGCTGGGGTTACAAGTGTGAGCCACCACCCCGGCCTATTATCTTATTTTTCAAATGAGAGAGTAGCCGTGGTGACTTACATCTATAATCCTAACACTTTGGGAGGCCAAGGCAGGTAGATTGCTTGAGCCTGGGAGTTCTATAATATATATAAAATCTTATCGTTTTTAAATGTTGACAACTAATTTAAACTAGTTTAAATTAAGACACACACTGTGTAGGTCAAACAAAACACCTTTTGACAACAGTTACACTATATACCATATTGCTTAAGAGGATGGATGCCTTAATCCCTTCTCTTCTTGATATTTTTTTTTTTTTTTTTTTTTTTTTTTTTTTTTGAGACAGAGTTTCACTCTTGTTACCCAGGCTGGAGTGCAATGGCGCGATCTCGGCTCACCGCAACCTCCGCTCCTGGGTTCAGGCAATTCTCCTGCCTCAGCCTCCTGTGTAGCTGGGATTACAGGCACGCGTCACCATGCCCAGCTCATTTTTTGTAGTTTTAGTAGAGACGGGGTTTCACCATGTTGACGAGGATGGTCTCGATCTGTTGACCTCGTGATCCACCCGCCTCGGCCTCCCAAAGTGCTGGGATTACAGGCTTGAGCCACCGCGCCCGGCCCTCTTCTTGATTTTTTTATCCTTCCAAGATTGTTTCTCTATAAGAACACATTTTCTAAAGTTGTTTAATTCTTTTCTTAAATATATTAAGTGGAATATATTAAACTTACTTTGCTTTTTAAAACCTAATTATAATTGGGATGAATCATCTTCGTATTGTTAGGTAGGATGCTAGGAATTTTGATACTTTAAATTTACTGTATTCTCTCTAGACCTGGTGATGACTGGAAAAAGACTTTAAAACTCCCTCCAAAGGATCTAAGAATCAAAACTTCGGTAAGTTGGTTGTAAAATTCTACTAGAATAACGGTGGGGGGAGGTGGGGGTCTTGAAGTAAAATACAGCTGTCCCTTGGATTCTGCAGGAAATTGGTTTCAGGACTATAACACCACTCTTACCCTTCTCTTCTGACCCAGAGAGATAGATATTCAGGCTATGTATTCCCATTTTGTGGATGAGAAAACAAAAGTTGAGAGCAGTTAGTTCTCTTAGCCTATTGTTTTCAACCTGGGAGATTTTTTTTTCCCTGGGGGCATTTAGCAGTTTATAGAAACACGTTTTGCTTATCATCACTGAGGGGATGCTAAAGGACAGCCCTTTACAACAAAGAATTTTGTGGCCCAAAATGTCAGTAGTACTGAGCTTGAAAAACTTGACTTAGCCAAAGATATTTGTAGTTAATGAGTGGTAGAGCTGGGATTTGACTTTATATCTTGTGATTTGCAATTCATGGCATGATACTTGTGTGGAAAAAAAAACACTATTCCACTGTCCTTAGATGACTATCCCAAAGGGCTGGGCACAGTGTCTCACCCCTGTAATCCCAGCACTTTGGGAGGCCAAGGCAGGCAGATCATCTGAGGTCAGAAGTTCTAGACCAGCTTGTCCAACATGGCGAAACCCCATCTCTAGTAAAAATAGAAAAATTAACTGGGCGTGGTGGCAGGCACCTGTAATTCCAGCTATTCAGGAGGCTGAGACAGGAGAATTGCTTGATCCCAGTAGATGGAGGTTGCAGTGAGCCAAGATCATGCCACTGCACTCCAGCCTGGGCGACCGAGCCAGACTCCGTCTCAAAAAAAAATAAAAAGGCTTTCACCAAGTGTCCTTTCCCCAAAACAGCTTTTAAATAGTTTCTGTGTCAAAGTGGGGAGAGTAGTTATTCTTCAGGAAAAGTTGAAATATAGATGACAAGTAATCTGCATATATTTAAGGTTGGGCAGGTAAAGTACTAAAGTCAGATAAGATTTTTTTTTTTTTTTTTTTTTTTTTTTTTTTTTTTTTTTTTTTTTTTGAGACAGTCTGGCTCTGTCCCCCAGGCTAGAGTGAGGTGGTAGGATCTCAGCTCACTGCAACCTCAGTCTCCTGGGTTCAAGCGATTCTCCTGCCTCAGCCTCCCAAGTAGCTGGGACTACAGGTGTGCACCACCAGTCCCACTAATTTTTTATATTTTTAGTAGAGATGGGCTTTCACCATGTTGGCCAGGCTGGTCTCAAATTTCTGACCTCAGGTGATCCACCCGCCTCAGCCTCCCAAAGGATTACAGGGGTGAGCCACATGCCTGGCCCAGATAAATTTTCTTAAACATAGATAAATTTACCACAGGACACAGTGTTGTTTATTCTTTCGCTGTTTCTTTTGTTTGTTTGACTAGGATGTGACCTCCACAAAAGGAAATGAGTTTGAAGATTACTGTTTGAAAAGGGAGTTACTGATGGGAATTTTTGAAATGGGCTGGGAAAAGCCATCTCCTATTCAGGTATGTTTACCCTTCTTATCACATATATAAGGTTATGTGTCAAGTATTAAATGGTTTTCTTTTTATTTTGTGGAAGTAGTATAGTGAACTAACATTTCTCTCTCATGTATACACACCTTTTCTGAAATTTTTAAGGGTAAGCTAGAAAATCATGGCCTTTTACCTCTAAATATTTCAATGTTTATTTCTTAAGAATAGGATATTCTCTTATATAACCACAGTACAGTTACTGTCAATTAACGTTGATAAAATAATTCTATCTCATCTGTCATTCTAATTATTAATTGACCCAAACCTGTCCTTCATAGCAGTTTTTTTCTTCTATACAGCATCCAGTCTAGGGTCAGGCATTACATGTAGTTACATCTCTTAATCGTTAGCATTTCCTTGTTTTCTCTTCTTTTTTGATGTTGACAGATTAAAAATACAGCATACAACCCCTTCCCCCATTCGTCTGTTTTTTTATTGTTTTTTGTTTGTTTGTTTGTTATTTGTGACTGGGTCTTTGCTCTGTCAGCAAGGCTGTAATTCAGTGGCTTGATCTTGGCTCACTGCGGCCTTGACCTCCCAGGCTCAAGTGATCCTCCTTCGTCAGCCTCCTGAGAAGCTGGGATTACAGACATGTGCCATCACACCCAGCTAATTTTTGTATTTTTTGGTAGAGACGAGGTTTTGCCATGTTGTCCAGGCTGGTTCAAACTCCTGGGTTCTCCATAGTGCTAGGATTATAGACATTAGGCACCATGCCTGGCACCCTTTTTTAACTGTGAGAACATTCCCCATTTGGGGATTTTCTGTTATTCCCAAGTAGGTTCAAGTTAGGCATTCTCAGCCAGAATAATGCAGAAATCACATTATGGCTGCCTCAAGGTACCATGTTTGAAGGTGTACATAGTGTCCATTTGTTCCTCTTTGATGATGTTAATGTTGTCTGATTTTTCTGTTGTATGGTTACTGCTCTTTCCTCTCTCACTTGAAACTAATAAGCAATCTGGGGTGCGTTTTAATTTTAAGACCATGAAGATACAATAACACCACTGACACCCTCCTCCTCAAACCCAGTAAGATAGATATTCAGGCTAGGTTATTATTCCCATTTTTGTGGATGAGAAAACAAAAGTTCAGAGCAGTTAGTTCTCTTAGCCTATTGTTTTCAACCTGGGAGAATTTTTCCCCCGGGGGCATTTAGCAATTTGTAGAAATAAGTTTTGCTTGTCATCAATGGGGGGATGCTAAAGGACAGCCCTTTACAACAAAGAATTTTATGGCCCAAAACATCAGTAGTGCTGAGCTTGAAAAAGTTGACTTAGCCAAAGATATTTGTAGCTAATGAGTGGTAGAGCTGAGATTTGACTTTATATCTTGTGATTTGCAATTCATGGCATGATACTTGAGTGAAAAATAACAAAATTTCCCCCTAGTTTTGGCATCCATGCTTGATCTCATCTCTGCCAACGACTGGTTATGATGACTTTGCAATTCTAGCACTCCCTCCGTATTTGGCCCTATAAAGAAGAAGCTTCCTCTCTCAGAATGTCTCCAAAAGAAAAAAAAAAAAAAAGAAACTTCCCTTTTCCCCACCCATATATATCTGTTATCAGTAAATTTTTTTTTTTTTCCAATTTTTTTTTAATTCTAAAAATATCCTAGATCTGGCCAATGTAAGCTCTTTCAAGCTGGTTCCTGTGTTGTTATGATGTGTCCCCTTCATTTTTCTTGAGTACTTTCTTGTTTTTTTTCTTTTTTGGAGATGGAGTCTAGCTCTGTCACACAGGCTGGAGTGCAATGGCATGATCTTGGCTCACTGCAGCCTCACCATCCTTGGTTCAAGTGGTTCTGGTGTCTCAGCCTAATTGCAGGTGCGTGCCACCACACCTAGCTAATTTTTGTATTTTTAGTAGATGCAGGGTTTCACCATGTAGGCCAGGCTGGTCTCGAACTCCCGACCTCAAGTGATTTCGCCCACCTTGTGCTGGGATTACAGACGTGAGCCACTCGGCCCAGCCGCTTTCTTGCTTTTTGACATAACATGATGCCAGGTTTATATTATACCTACCCTGACCCGGTGTTGGCATCTAAGGATCCTTGAGTCTTTTTAGTGTGAAGTAGTGTTAGGGACCAAGACCCCAGGCATTAGATATCCTGTTTGCTACTTGGTTCTTTCACTGGAAAGAGCAAGAAATAAATGCATGTATATACATATCTACACATGTATACACATAAATATAATGTACATATAAACATGCATTATACATAGGCCAGTTTAACAAATGATGACAACACACATACTTAAATTGATGAAATTATTGAATTCAGGGTATGCTAAGGACAGACCCTGTGACATCACCGAGTACTTTTTCATTGAGCCAACATATGTTGAGTGACCTGGAAAGTGGTGGTTTGTTTTGTTTTTTGTCCCCCCGCCCCCCCCCCCCCCAGATTTGAAGTTTGGAAGCCTCCACCTAGATTTCAGAGGAGGAAGTATTTGACCCTGGGGATTCTATGATGAATAAGACAGATATGGTTCCTGGCAGGGCACAGTGGCTCACGCCTGTAATCCCAGCACTGGGAGGCTGAGGTGGGCATATCACAAGGTGAGGAGATCAAGACCATCCTGGCCAACATGGTGAAACCCTATCTCTACTGAAATACAAAAAATTAGCCAGGCATGGTGGCACATATCTGTAGTCCCAGCTACTTGGAAGGCTAAGGCAGGAGAAGTGCTTGAACCTGGGAGGTGGAGGTTGCAGTGAGCTGAGATCGTGCCACTGCACTCCAGCCTGGCGACAGAGCAAGACTCTTGTCTCAAGAGAAAAAAAGAAAAAAGACAAATCTGGTTCCTGTCTTACGGTTTGGAAAGGACAGCTAATTGTACAAATAATTCACCGTAATATGATGGGTACCTTTCTAGTTGGAATTGCATATGTATGTAGTCATTAAAGAAAGATGGGACAACCTGGAAGAATGGATCCATGTTTCAAGCAGAGAATGCTGGGTAGTGATTGCCTGCTAATTTTTCGGATTTTAGTAGAGACGGGGTTTCCTCATGTTGGCCAGGATGGTCTCGATCCCTTGACCTTTGATCCGCCCACCTTGGCCTCCCAAAGTGCTAGGATTACAGGCATGAGCCACCTCACCCAGCCCACTGACATCTTATGAGAGCTCGTTTATGGCAGGAACTGCATCGTTCAACTTTTATCTCTAATACTTAGCACAGTGCCTGTGCTTATTTTAGCGTGCTTTGATGACACTTAGGTAACTCATGTCTACAGGTAAACATGGTGTAGGGAACTACTCAGGTTGAATCCCAGCTCTACTTCTTCCTAAGTTGGTTATTTGGGATCTATCTCTAAGTCTTGGACTCCTGACCTGTACAGTTGAGCTAATAGCATAATACCATAAGGTTGTTGTAAAGGTTAATTGAGATAATTCATATGCTTAGTACAGTGCCTAGTTCATGATAAATGCTCAATAAATGTTATGGGTTATTTTATATAAAAGTTTCAAAAAAAAAAAGGAAATTAGTTAATTTAGGAGATGTAATAAATGTGTTTTTGTTTTTTTGTTTTGTTTTGTTTTGTTTTTGAGATGGAGTTTCGCTCTTGTTACCCAGGCTGGAGTGTAATGGCGCGATCTCAGCTCACCGCAACCTCCGCCTTCTGGGTTCAGGCAGTTCTCCTGCCTCAGCCTCCTGAGTAGCTGGGATTACAGGCACATGCCACCATGCCCAGCTAATTTTTTGTATTTTTAGTAGAGATGGGGTTTCACCATGTTGACCAGGATGGTCTCGATCTGTTGACCTCGTGATCCACCCGCCTTGGCCTCCCAAAGTGCTGGGATTACAGGCTTGAGCCACCGTGCCTGGCCAATAAATGTGTTTTAAAGAGTCTTGCTGAGTTGCCTAGACTGGAGTGCAGTGTCACGATCCTGGCTTACTGCAGCCTCAAACTCCTGAGCTCACGTGATAATCCTGCCCCAGCCTTTTGAGTAAGGATGATAGTGTAGTACCGTCACACTTGGCTACCTTTTTTTTTTTTTCTTTTGGTAGAGTTCAGATCTTGCCATGTGGACCAGGCTGGTCTTGACCCTGGGCTCAAGCAGTCTTCCTGCCTTGGCATCCCAGTGTGTTAGAATTCTAGATGTGAGCCACTGCACTTAGCCCAGTCCACATTCTTAATGGATATTTGCTAATTCCTATTTCTTACCTTGTATTACAGTTTAAAATTGACTTTGTTACTTGTACTCTCAGTGTTGCTATAGCATATAGACAATGAACTCTTCAGCCACTTAACCAGTCTGACATTTAGCTTTTTCTGTAAAGTAGAAATAAGTAATCTCCCTCACAGGATTTTTATTGTGAAGATCAAATGTAATGTAAGACCAAATTTTGAAATAGCAAGGTACTGTATGAATATAGTTTTAGTTATTCAAGATTACCCCTTGTATTGCCTGTTTTTTCCCTACCGTTTTATCCTGGGGATCCATGGAAAGCACAAGATTATGTGTTTCTTAGAATCATTCAGAGTAACAAATCACAAACATTAGGACTTTTGGAACCGAAACAAAATTTACAGAACCGTTAGTAAAAACTTCTTTTCTTTTTTTTGAGACCGAGTCTCGCTCTGTCACCAGGCTAGAGTGCAATGGCGTAATCTTGGCTCACTGCGACCTCTGCCTCCCAGGTTTAAGCGATTCTCCTGCCTCAGCCTCCCAAGTAGCTGGGGCTACAGGCGCATGCCACCATGCCCAGCTAATTTTTGTATTTTTAGTAGAGACGGGGTTTCACCATGTTGGCCAGGATGGTCTCGATCTCTTGACCTTGTGTGAGCCACCATGCCCAGCCTATTTTTTATTTTCATAGATTTTTGGGGAACAGGTGGTGGTTGATTACATGAGTAAATTCTTTTTTGTTTGTTTGTTTTTGTTTTTGTGAGGCAGAGTTTCGCCCTGTCACCCAGACTGGAATGCACTGGTGTGCTTTTGGCTCATTGCAACTTCCACCTCCTGGGTTCAGGTGATTCTCATGCCTTGGCCTCCTGAGTTGCTGGGATTACAGGTGCATGGCAGCATGCCCAGCTAATTTTTGTATTTTTAGTGGAGCCGGGGTTTCACCGTGTTGCCCAGGCTGGTCTTGAACTCCTGACCTCAGGTGATCCACTCTCTTCGGCCTCCCAAAGTACTGGGATTACAGGCATCAGCCACTATGCCCTACCAAGTAAGTTCTTCAGTTGTGATTTCTGAGATTTTGTTACGTCCATCACCCCCCTGATAAAATATAATCTCATGGCAGGCTGTCTTCTAGCATTCTTTACACTCTTTATCTGTCTACTTATTTTTCGTCATTCCCCCCACTCCCTTGCTTCCTAAAAGTATCCATTCTATCATGCTTGGTTTTACAGTTTTGTCTAGGCATTTTTTTTCCCCTGAATATTAAAGCTGTTTTGAAGGGATGTATGTCTTCTGCATTTGAATATTTGTTTGAGATGGAGTTTAGTTGCTGTTTGGGTATGAGATTACTGGAGAATTGTCTGGATGCAGTGGCTCACGCCTGCAATCCCAGCACTTTGGGAAAGCCACGGTGGGCAACTTGCTTAAACCTAGGAATTCGACACCAACCTGAGCAACATGGCGCAAAACCCTGGCTGTACAAAAGTTAGCTGGGCGTGGTGGACATGTAGTCTTAGCTGTTCAGTAGGTTGAGGCTGCAAGTGAGCCAGGATTGTGCCACTGCATTCCAGCCTGGGCAGCAGAGCCAGACCTTGTCTCACACATGCAAAAAAAAAAAAAAAAGGTGGTTGAATAATTAGGTACTTAAAATTATATACTTTCAAAGGAGGTTTTACATTGATAGGCTGGAACAAGATATAATACAGATTGCTCCCACACGTGTTTCTTTGATAGAGCCATCCGTGACCAGTTCTAGGTCTGGATGCTGTGGCCAGTAGAATAACTGCCATTCTAAAGGTGTAGCTTCATAGGAACATAGATTTCTTTGGTAGGCCTATGCATACACTGTTTTTTTCTGCTTAGCATTATTTGAAACTATATTAACTTTGAGGTTATGACTGAGAAAGATGGTCCCTCTCGTTGCTTCCAAACCCTGGGCACACCTTTTGAAGACTTTTGAAAATCTAAGAAGGTGAAGAAGTGAGAGGTAGTTCATTATTTAGGGAAACATGGAAGCTTCTTACTGTGACAACAAAATTTTGTGCCGGGTCAATAAGGATTAATGGTTTAATATTTATAGTTAAGAATTACAGCATTCTGTGACATTTTGAATCCTGTAATAAGTCATTCTTCCTGTTAACAATGGGTTTATTATGACTGAAAGAATTGTTTCCTAAAAACTCAGGGTTTTTTTGTCGTTGGTTGGTTGGTTGGTTTTGATGGAGTTGGGGAGACAGAGTCTTACTTTGTCACACTGGCTGGTCTTGAACTCCTGGCCTCAAGTGATTCTCCTGCCTCAGCCTTCAAAGCGTTGAGATTTACAGGTGTGAGCCACCATCCCCAGCCTCAGTTAGAGATAGTATTAGAATTTACTAACTCTTTCCTAGTAAGCAGGGGGCATCTGTAACAGTCCTTGCTACCTTGTCTGCAGTAACCATGGGATTTTTTTTCTCTTGGAAGCTAAGGTTTGGAAAGTAAGAGGAAGCAGTCAGTTGTAAATGCAGCTAGTTGGGCAATGTTGAGCTTCTGTTGGTACCACACTTTTGTAAAATACCTCTCAATACTAGGAAATTGGAAAGTATACCATTCTTTGATCATCGGCACCAGAAACCAACTTGATCTAACTTAAGCAAAAGGAAATGTATTGGAAAAATATGGGAAATTCACAAGATGGAGAAGGCTAGAGAAACATGCTTGCAAATGCCTAAGAACTGAAATAGCTATGAAGGACTTAGGAAGCTGTAATGGATGCACTATGACAATTTAGATTCTTAGGAGGCAGCATTCCACTGGCCTAGTGTGGGTTATCTGTCTACCATTTGGCTTAGAAAGTTGGTGAGGCTTGGTCTTTTGGGACAGGGGAGAGTGGGGTATGTACTTCCTTAGAAGGGGTGTTACCTACCAAAGGAATACTAATAGAGTAACCAAAACAAACAAATATTCTTCAGTCAGTATCTAAATGCTGCAGTGGAATATGAACTTGGAGACCTAAGGTGGCAGATGTCAGGCCTAAGCTTGTTGGGTTGGTTTTTGGGGGTTTTGTTTTTTTTGGGTAATAGCTTTATTGAGCTGTAAATCACATATCACAAGTTGACAGTGTACAATTTAATGCTTTTTAATGTATTTAGAGTTGTGCAACCATTACCACAATAAATTTTAGAAATATTTTGATCAGCCCCCAAAACATTTTCATCAGCCCCACTGTGACCCCTGTAGCAGTCACACCTCATTTTCCCCCAGCCCTAAGCAACCACTAGTATACTTTGTCATTCTATATTTGCCTATTCTGGACATTTCATATAAATGGAATCACGTGGTTTTGTGTGACCGACTTCTTTCACTTAGCATAATATTTTCCTAGTTCATCTGTGTTGTAGTATGTATCAATATTCCATTCCTTTTTGCTGAATGATATTCCATTGTATGGCTCTACTACTGATTATCCACTGATTACTACTGAATAGATAATCAGTAGTAGAGCCATACAATGGAATATTGTTAAAAATATTAAATAACATTTGGGGTTATTTCCCAAGGACTGAGGATTTAATGTGCTATTTTGTGAAAATCTGAGAAGCAGGAAGGGGATTTAATGAGCTCAACTGTTAATCCATCTGAAAAAACTAACTTGTGATTTTAAATAAAATGGCAGCTACCTTCCACTATGCTCCCCCTGCCCACCCCAGGCTGGAGTGCGGTGGTGAGATCTCAGCTCACTGCAACCTCCGCTCCCCTGGGTTAAAGCGATTTTCCTGCCCCAGCCTCCCGAGTAGCTGGGATTACAGGCGCCTGCCACTGTGCCTGGCTAATTTTTTGTATTTCTACTAGAGATGGGGTTTCATCATCTTGGCCACACTGTTCTTGAACTCCTGACCTCTTGATCCACCTACCTCAGCCTCCCCAAAGTGCTGGGATACTGCACCCGGCCTGTTTTTCCTTTTTATTTTGAGAGAGAGTATTGCTCTTCTCACCCAGGCCGGAGTGCAATGGCCAGATCTCGGCTCACTAGAACCACTGCCTCCCAGGTTCAGGTGATTCTCCTGCTGAGCTCAGCTTCCTGAGTAGCTCAGATTACAGGTGTGTGCCACCACACACCCGGCTGATTTTTGTGCTTTTAGTAGAGATTGGGTTTCACCATATTGGCTAGGCGGTCTTGAACTCCTGACATCGTGATCCTGCCACCTCGGCCTCCCAAAATGCTGGGATTACAATTGTGAGCCACTGTACCTGGACTGCTGTTCCCTTTTTAAAACAGGAACTGCCCCAGCTTTTAACTTACAAAGTTTTATTTTATTTTTAATTATTTATTTTGAGATGGAGTCTGGCTGCCACCAGGCTGGATTGCAGTGGCATAGTCTCAGCTCACTGCGACCTCCACCTCCTGGGTTCAAGCGATTCTTCTGCCTCAGCCTCCCTACTAGCTGGGACTACAGGTGCACACCACCACCCACCTAATTTTTGCATTTTTAGTAAAGATGGGGTTTCACCATATTGGCCAGGCTGCTTTCAAACTCCTGACCTCATGATCTGCCCACCTCAGCCTCCCAAAATGCTGGGATTACAGGTGTGAGCCACCGCGCCGGCTTTTAAGTTACTTTGAATGAAGTTTATACTATTATTTAAAAAAAATACATAGAAGTAACTGGCTATTAAGGATAACGCTGCTATAAAAATTCAGGTGCAAATTTTTGTGTGGAGATGTTTTTATTTCTTTTCCGTATGTATCTAGGATTGCTAGTTAATAAGGTAACTCCGTTGAACTTTTTGAGAAACTGTAAGACTGGTTTGCATCATGGATGTATACATTCCCACTAGCAGTGTATATAAGGGTTCCATTTGCTCCACCTTATTGCCTACATGTTATGTGCAGATATAAGTTCAAATACTGGCTAAAGCATTTCTTGCTTTGTGACCTTGGGCAAAACAACTAATCCTGTTTAGGATCCATTTTGTTGTAAAACGAAGTACCTAACTTGAAAGTTGTACTTAGCACATAGTAACTTTTTTAAAAAAGTTTTAGTTTCCTTCCTCTTTTACCTCCTCCTCAGCAGTTCCTCATAATTTCCTATTGCGTTTCATAGCTTTCTGAACTTGACTTGAATTCTCTTGCTTCATGTTACCTAATCTTCCTGAAAAACACTGGTAACAGGCAGTGTGGATGTGCCGAATTCACTGACTGCTAATCATAATTAGCCATTGTATAGTTCAAAATAGAGTGTTTTAACTTACAGTCTATCACATGTACTTTGTTAAAGACTTTCTTTGAATAGTTTTTGTAGGGTGCATAATCCCTCTCAAAGAGGGCAAAGGAATAGAAGTCAGTGGACTTAATCTAAGTCAGTCAAAAGATCAGCTAAAAAGGAACATTAGGATACCTCCAGTCTAATTCTGTTCTGCCTCACTTCATTGAAAACAAGGTTTACACTTTAAAGAACCTGACCCAGCAAGTCATTATGAGACTGTCAGAGATCACCTATCTTACCTTTTTCAACATGTAGAACTGAGTAGCATACAGGTAGCCTGTTGAAAACTACAGACTACTGGCACCACAGAACCACAAAAGAGAAAACCTGAGGTGACAGGGTAATGGGAGCCCTCTGGAACAACTGGAGATAATGGTTGACTTAAAAAAGGAGGGAAGAAATTTAAACAAAAGGGCTAAAGCCAAGGCTTTCTTCCTTGAATGCTTTATAGACTCTAATTTCAGCTGTAAGAACCAAGACTTTTTTTTTTTTTAAGATAGAGTCTTGCTCTGTTGCCCAGGCCGGAGGGCAGCGGCATGATCTCAACTCACTGCAACCTCCTCTTCCCAGGATCAAGCAATTCTCCTGTCTCAGCCTCCTGAGTAGCTGGAACTACAGGCATGCACCACGATGCCCAGCTAATTTTTGTATTTTTAGTAGAGACGGGGTTTCACCGTGTTGACAAGGCTGGTCTTGAACACCTGACTTCAGGAGATCCACCCACCTCAGCCTCCCAAAGTGCTGGGATTACAGATGTGATCCACTGCACCCGGCCTACCAGTAGCGGTTTTAAGGGATTTTTTTTTTGGGGTTTTTTTTTTTTTGTCGTTAGCCCATGCATAGAAGGAACAAATGTGAGTGACTGTGAATTTGGTTTTTAGTGTTTTAGCTTTAAAAATTAAAAATTCAGGTCAGGCACCGTGGCTCACACCTGTAAATCCAGCACTTTGGGAGACTGAGGCAGGTAGATCATCTGAGCTTAGGAGTTCAAGACCAGCCTGGCCATCGTGGTGAAACCTTGTCTGTACTAAAAATACAAAAATTAGCCAGGTGTGGTGGCACACACCTGTAATCTGAGCTACTTGGGAAGCTGAGGCAGGAGAATCACCTGAACCGGGGAGGTGGTGGTTGCAGTGAGCTGAGATCGGGCCATTACACTGTAGCCTAGGTGACAAGAGCAACACTCTCTCTCAAAAAGGAACAAGAGGCTGGGTGCAGTGGCTCACTGTTGAGTAAGTTCTTTTTCATAACTATACTGATCTACCATTTTGAGGTGAAGTTTTCTATAGTTTGAAGCAGCAAGGGAAAGGAGTCTTTCTTCCTTTTATGAACCATATGGAGGATTTTTAAGAAAAATTACATTTTAAAAGTATTTCTACACAATCAGGAAAGCAACACCAAAAAATAAAAATAAAAAAGTAAAGCCATATATCTAACATTTTTTAAGTGGCCTTTAGAGATGGACAGTCGTCTTTGGAATTTAGATATATAACAAGGGTTTTTTTTTTTTTTTTTTTTTTTTTTTTTTGAGACGGAGTTTCACTCTTGTTACCCAGGCTGGAGTGCAATGGCGCGATCTCGGCTCACCGCAACCTCCGCCGCCTGGGTTCAGGCAATTCTCCTGCCTCAGCCTCCTGAGTAGCTGGGATTACAGGCACGTGCCACCATGCCCAGCTAATGTTTTGTATTTTTAGTAGAGCCGGGGTTTCACCATGTTGACCAGGATGGTCTCGATCTCTTGACCTCGTGATCCACCCGCCTCGGCCTCCCAAAGTGCTGGGATTACAGGCTTGAGCCACCGCGCCCGGCCTGGGTTTTGTTTTTTTTTAAGACTCAGTTTCACTCTTGTCTGTCAGGGTGGAGTGCAAGGGTGCGATCTCGGTTCACTGCAATTTTCGCTTCCTGGGTTCAAGCAATTCTCTTGCCTCAACCTCCCAAGTAACTGGGATTACAGGCGCCTGCCACCACACCTGGCTAATTTTTTTTGTGTATTTTTAGTAGAGATGTTGGCCAGACTGGTCTTGAACATCTGACCTCAGGTGATCCGCCCGCCTCGGCCTCCCAAAGTGCTGGGATTACAGGCGTGAGCCACCACGCCCAGCCTACTTGGTTTCTTATTAAAGAAATAATATGCTAGATTTCATTTGAAATTCAAAGCTCTAGAACCAAGAACTAGGTTCCCAATTATTTGACTACTTTTCTGAGTCTAAGTAAGTGCTGTATAAACCCTTTGTTCCTTGTTATTTGACTACTAGTATCCTGTCCACATCACACTCCCAGTCTTTTTGGCCCTAGTCTTAAATTTACTACCATAAGCAAAACCGTGATAAATAAGGCCCTAAGTCTGTGTTTTTCTTGTTTTGTGATGGGGAATGATAATATTTCTCTGGGAGCAGAAATGTGCTTCGTTCTTTTATTTAATTACAGTTAACTTTGTTATGTAGGAATCACAACATAAACTTTTATAATATAAAAATTTAATTGCTTACAGGAATTTATTTGGGAAAACCGTGAAACAATGTATAAACACCTGTTTTAAAACATCTTTATCTGAAAGGCAATGTCCTAAATGTTTATCATGCTTTTAGTTTTTAAAATGAAAAGGGGAGGGCCTTATAAGAAAAAAACTGTTTTTTTCCCCCCAAACTTGTGAAGAACAGTTTCTAGGCCTAAATATGTTTACTATAATGCTAAAAGTTGCAGCAGTTGCTGCTGCTTATATAAGCTGTTGACATTGTCTTTTGTAGTCTTTTATGACCAAGGCATAAACATGGCTTTCATCCTAACTAGTTTGGGTTAGGGTTCAATACTGTGCCCAAACACCAACAGATCTGTTTGACCTTTAATAGAAGTCTTAGTACCACTGTTTTCTATTTTTAGCCAGTTTATAAAACCTTGACCAATTGATAGAGTCTTGGTAGTTATTCTGTTTGTCTCTGAAATGCAATGATGTCATTGGATCATTATATTAGGTTTTAGAATTAGAAGTGAGAAGACAAATTTCCTCCCCCCCCCTTCTTCCCTTCCTCCTCTTTTCTTTTCGTTCCTTCCATCTGTCCGTGCATCCCCCTCTGTTGCCCAGGCTACAACTACACCTTCTGTTCAGTGATGCAATCTCAGCTCACTGCAACCTCCACCTCCTGGGTTCAAGCAATTCTCCTGCCTCAGCCTCCTGAGTAGCTAGGACTACAGGCGCACACCACCACATCCAGCTAATTTTTGTATTTTTAGCAGAGACAGGATTTCACCGTGTTGGCCAGGCTGTCTCGAGCTCCTGATCTCAGGTGATTGCCTGCCTGGGCATGATTACAGACAGGGGCCACCAAGCCTGGCTGAGAAGGCAGATTTTAATTGTCTAGCTATCTGGCCTGTAAAGTTAAGTTGGAGGTGGCAGAATGTTTTTGGTTTTTTTTCTCTGTTTGAATTTTGCTGTAAGGTAGAGAATTAGAAAAAAAAAAGAAATCAGAGGTTTAGGACCTTAATTCTTTTCATAGGAAATATTCTCTCAACATATATTGTCTCCTAATACCCTAATCAATCTTAGAGCCCATTGTTGAGTGACTGGCCTGTCTTCAGGACCAGGGCATTCTCTTAGGTGTTTTGCTTTCTTATTGTTTGTGCCTGTTCTTTTAATTTCTCTTTCGTATATGTCTATTTATTTTCCAGTAACTTTTGAGAATCCTTTGCTATTGTCTGGGAAATTTAAGTTAGTATGAAGTACTTTTATCTTTTGCAAAGTACATAGCAAAGTAACCCAAATGTGAAAATGGGACATCACTTTCAGTGATGTGACTATAGATTGAGGTAACTGTAATAGAATTGAATCCTCAGTAGAGAGCACATTTCAGAACAGAGAAATAGGCTATAAAGACAGACATTGGAGGTTTACTTATTATGTAAATAAATGACGAATAGGACTGGAGGTTAAACTTTCCCAGCCTATTTGTATTTTGTTGCAGGGATGAGGTTTCAAGCTACAATTTTTCACTGTGGTCAAATTGGTTTGCTAGTCTCAATATATAGTCCTACCTTGGAATTGTTTTTGCTTTTTACTTCAAAAAAAAATTTTTTTTTTTTTTTTTTGAGACGGAGTTTCGCTCTTGTTGCCCAGGCTGGAGTGCAATGGCGCGATCTCGGCTCACCGCAACCTCCGCCTCCTGGGTTCAGGCAATTCTCCTGCCTCAGCCTCCTGAGTAGCTGGGATTACAGGCACGAGCCACCATGCCCAGCTAATGTTTTGTATTTTTAGTAGAGACGGGGTTTCACCATGTTGACCAGGATGGTCTCGATCTCTTGACCTCGTGATCCACCCGCCTCGGCCTCCCAAAGTGCTGGGATTACAGGCGTGAGCCACCGCGCCCAGCTTACTTCAAAAATTTTTGTCGAGATGGGGTCTAACCACCTTGCCTAGGCTGGTTTCAAACTCCTAGGCTCAAGTGATCCTTCTGCTTTGGCCTTCCATAGTGCTGGGAATATAGACATGAGCCACTGTGTCTGGCCATCTTTTTTTTTTTTTTTTTTTTTTTGAGCTAAGATCTCAGTTTTTCAGACTGGAGTACAGTGGTGCAATCATGGCTCACTTCACCCTTAGCCTCCTGGCTTAACCTCTCAAGTAGCTAGTACTGCAGACATGCACCACCACACACAGCTAATTTTTGTAATTTTTGTAGAGTTGGGGTTTTTCCATGTTGCCCAGGCTTGTGTTGAACTCCTGGGCTCAAGTGATCCCCGCCACCTCTGACTCTCAAGTGTGCTACAATTACAGGCATAAGCTGCTGTGCCTGGCCTTTTTTCCCATTTTTATTTGAAGGAAGCTTTGCTTTTGTCTGTATTTTCAAGTGCTATTTATGGGTCAGCCTGAGTTCCTCCACTTTCTTTGTTTTCCTTGGACACACGTGTACACAGTTTTTATGACATTGGGTTACAATTTAAAATTCTGTGAGCAGTTCTGGTAAATACTGGTTTGTAATGATGTTGATGTTGACTGGTCCTGCTGATTTACTTGGATCTCTGCTATTCATGTAGAATTCAAATATAGGATACTTAAAGCAGTGCCGAAAGAGGTATCCTTCTGTGTATTTCAGAGAGGAATTTGCTTGTGTACTAAATTCACAATTAATTTTGTATTGTCTCTTTTAGGAGGAGAGCATTCCCATTGCTTTATCTGGTAGGGATATCTTAGCTAGAGCAAAAAATGGAACAGGCAAGAGCGGTGCCTACCTCATTCCCTTACTTGAACGGCTAGACCTGAAGAAGGACAATATACAAGGTTAGTTGAATAAAAGTTTATTTTTAAACTAAAAATGTGAGTTTCAGCCTTGGAGCTATATGTAGAAGATATTCCTTTTTTTAGTCAGAATTTGTATTATCTAAAATTTGTATTCTTTCTTTTCAGGTTTTTTTTTGTTTTGTTTTTGTTTTTTTGGCCTGATGATGGTCTTCTAAAAATGATTCCCAGTTTTTTAGAGATTTCTAGTTATCAGTATTTTTATATGATACACAGTTTTGACAGCATTCCAGTGAGATAGGCAAAATAAGTATTAGTGCCCTATAGATAGGAAAGCTGAGGCTGGACACAGTGGCTCACAGCCTGTAATCCCAGCACTTCGGGAGGTCAAGGTGGGTGGATAACCTGAGGCTGGGTGTTTGAGACCAGCCTGGCCAACATTGCAAAACCCCATCTCTACTAAAAATACAAAAATTAGCTGAGGATGGTGGCACACACCTGTAATCCCAGCTGCTTGGAAGCTGAGGCACAAGAGTCACTTGAACCCAGGAGGTGGAGGTTGCAGTGAGCCAAGATTATGTCACTGCACTCCAGCCTGGGTGACAGAGTGACACTCTCTCTCAAAAAAAAAAAGAAAAAGGACAGTTCAGATCATGAGAGGTTTAATTAGTTGACATTGCTGCTTATAAACTGTAGAACTATTTCTTGTGGCAGATGAGTGTTACCACAATTCCTTGTAGAAACATGAACTTCTGTTTAAAGGCGTGGGTTCTAGGATTTTAAGAGCCTAGGCAGTGCGGAATAGTTTTCATACTTACATTCAGCATAAGTTAATAGAATTAGGATTTCACCTCTGAAACTTTACATACGTTTTTAGCTTTTTTGAGCTTTCTTGATGTGTAATTATCATTTCTTCCTACTTACATATGATGTAGATACAACCTGGGTAGCAGGAGTTTCCTACTTATGTATTTTAGACTGGTGACTCTGACTCAAATGTAGTTGGGGCTCTTAGAAAGATAATAAACTTTGAGCTAATAGTTGCCAACTCAACCTGCTAAAAGTTTGTAATTAAGAAGTGTGTTGGCCATGTGTGGTGGCTCAGGCCTGTAATCCCAACACTTTGGGAGGCCGAGGCAGGCAGATCACCTGAGGTCAGGAGTTTGAGACCAGCCTGGGCAACATGGTAAAACCTCGTCTCTGCTAAAAATATAGAAATTAGCTGGGTGTGGTGGTGTGTGCTGTAGTCCCAGCTACTTGGGAGGCTGAGGCAGGAGTATTGCTTGAACCTGGGAGATGGAGGTTGTAGTGAGCCGAGGTCGTGCCACTGCACTGCAGCTTAGGTGACAGAGTGAGGCTCTGTCTCAAAAAAAAAAAAAAAAAAAGGATATGTTGGCTCATGCCTATAATCTCAGCACTTTGGGAGGCCAAGGCAGGAGGATCACTTGGAGTCAGGAGTTAGAGACCAGCCTAGCCAACATGGTGAAACCCCATCACTACTAAAAATACAAAAAATTATCTGGGAATGGTGGTAGGTGCCTGTAATCCCAGCTACTCGGGAGACTGAGGCAGGAGAATCGCTTGAATTTGGGAGGCAGAGGTTGCAGTGAGCTGAGATGGCGGTGAGCCGAGATGGCGTCACTGCACTCTATCCTGGGCAACAGGGCAAGACTGTCTCAGAAAAACAAAAATGAGGCCAGGCACAGTGGCTCACGCCTGTAATCCCAACACTTTGGGAGGCCAAGGTGGGCGGATCACCTGAGGTCAGGAGTTCAAGACCAGCCTGGCCAACATGGAGAAACCCCATCTCTTTTTAAAAACAAATAAAAGATGAAAAAGAAGAGTGTAATATTTACATGGCAGTATTGCTGAGTGAAAGTCTAAATCTGGAATACTGTAATTGGCTTGGGTTTTTTTTGTTTTTTTGAGACAAGAGTCTTGCTCTGTCTCCCAGTCTGGAGTGCAGTGATGCCATCTTGGTTCACTGCAACCTCCACCTTCCGGATTCAAGTGATTCTCTTGCCTCAGCCTCTTGAGTAGCTGGGATTACAGCCACGTGCCACCACACTCAGCTCTTTTTTGTATTTTTATTAGAAATGGGGCTTCACCATGTTGGTCAGGCTGGTTTCCAACTCCTGACTTCAGGTGATCTGCCTGTCTCCGCCTTCCGAAGTGCTGGGATTTCAGGCGTGATCCACCACTCAGTAAGGGGTAGCATTTCTATAGCTTCTTAAATTTTGTAAATACAGTGTGTAACGTGTTCTACCTCGCCCCATATTTTCTCTGTTCCTTGGTATTTTTCAGCAATGGTGATTGTTCCCACTAGAGAACTTGCTCTACAGGTCAGTCAAATTTGCATCCAGGTCAGCAAACACATGGGAGGGGCCAAAGTGATGGCAACCACCGGAGGAACCAATTTACGAGATGACATAATGAGGCTTGATGATACAGGTAAGAAATCATTACTGAAAGGTAGCGTAGCTTTCTGTAATGTTAGTCACAGTATTTCAGTAAATTATTAAAAAATTGTTTTTAAGAGTTAAGGAACAGAAACACTGCAGTAAAAAAAAAATAAAGGAAATGACTATTGCACTAAAGCGAAAAAGACACATTTATAGGCTGGGCACAGTGGCTCATGTCTGTAATCCCAGCACTTTGGGAGGCCGAGGTAGGCAGATCACCTGAGGTCGGGAATTCCAGACCATCCTGACCAACATGGAAAAACCCCGCCTGCACTAAAAGTACAAAAATTAGCTGGGCATAGTGGCACTTGCCTGTAATCCCAGCTACTAGAGAGGCTGAGACGGGAGAATCACTTGAAGCCAGGAGGCCGAGGTTGCAGTGAGCCAAGATGTCGCCATTGCACTTTAGCCTGGGCAACAAGAGCGATACTCTGTCTCAGGAAAAAAAAAAAAATTATGGTAATTGAAAAAGATGTTTGACTTTATTAGTAATTGCCTTATTAGCAAGTTTATAGTAATTTTTTCTGTTTAATTAATAAAGCTAAAAATATTAGACGATACTGTGAGTTTGTAGAGAAATAGGCTGCCTTGTAAACATGGGATATAAACTGATAAGATGTCTATCATGGACAATTTGGCAGTATATTTTAAAATTATAAATGTGTATTTTTAAGAATCTTTCCTGAAGAAAAAAGTTGGGTAAATTCAGGGCAGTATGTACGAAGTTGTTTACTATGGGGTGGTTTGTAATGCTGATTTGATAAATACATTGAGGTATAGTCTGAATAGGATTCTACATAGTCATTAAAGAGGGAAATTGATCTGTATTCATTTTCATGAAGACGTTTCACGATACTTTACTGAGTGGAAAAAGATAACAAAGCAGCAAGAATGATATAATTTATATAAAATTATATCTAGATTCTAGTCAGAATACTAGATATGATTATGTGATGTAGTCTTTGTATTGTATAGTTTGTATGTTTGTTTTTTGGAGACGGAGTCTTACTCTGTTGCCACACTGGAGTTCAGTGGTGCAATCTCAGCTCACTACAACCTCCGCCTTCCAGGTTCAAGCGATTCTGCTGCCTAAGCCTTCTGAGTAGCTGAGATTACAGGCACCCACCACCATGCCCAGCTAATTTTTTGTATTTTTAGTAGAGACGGGGTTTCACCATGTTGACCAGGATGGTCTCGATCTCTTGACCTTGTGATCCACCCGCCTCGGCCTCCCAAAGTGCTGGGATTACCGGCGTGAGCCACCGCGCCCGGCCAATTTTTTGTAGTTTTAGTAGAGATGAGGTTTCACCATGTTGGCCAGGATGGTCTTGATCTCTTGACCTCATGATCCACCCGCCTCGGCCTCCCAGTATACAGGAATTACAGGCCTGAATCACCGCGCCCGGCCGTATTGCAGTTTTAAAAAATGATTGTCTTGTTTGATCCTTTTAACTTGGAAGGCTTTGAAGTACTTTGAAGACCACTGCATTAGATTAGAGGCATTGCTATTGTTTCAGAAGCCTGTTGTGCCTTCTGTTATTCATTGGGAATTGTCCTAAGACGAGAAAGTATGCCTCTTGTTGGAAGCAGGTGATTTGGGAAGCTGTAGCCCACCCAATGTAGAGTGAAACAAACAAGTATTTTTTAACCATCCTGTGGTGAAATGGAAGTCTTTATACTAAAACACATCTTTGTGCCATTTTCTGTTATTCCCACCTCTGTAACACAACAGTGTTCCTTTTTTTTATTTTTTTTTGAGACAGTGTTGCCCAGTCTGGAGTGCAGTAGCATGATCTTGGCTCACTGAAACCTCCAACTGTAAGGTTTTAAGTAACTCTCCTGTCTCAGTCTCCTAGGTAGCCGAGATTACAGGCTCCCACCACCACACCCGGCTAATTTTTGTATTTTAAATAGAGACAGGGTTTCACCACGTTGGCCAGGCTGGTCTCAAACTCCTGACCTCATGTGATCCACCTGCCTCACCTCCCAAAGTGCTGGGATTACAGGCATGAGCCACTGTACCCGGCCTAATGTTTCTGATACAAGATAGTCATGTGCTGCATAACAACGTTTTGATCAGTGACCGACTGCATGTAGGTCGGTGGTCCCATAAGATTATTATGGAGCTATACAGTCGAGTAAGCGATACCATCTGGGTTTCTCACATAGCAATGCATTTCTCAGAATTAATCATTAAGCAACTCAGGACTATATATGGTAAACCTTTACATTATCCCTTTTGCCCAAATTAAAATTAATGAGAATATATGTTTTCTAAATCTTGTGTAGTGCACGTGGTGATTGCTACCCCTGGGAGAATCCTGGATCTTATTAAGAAAGGAGTAGCAAAGGTTGATCATGTCCAGATGATAGTATTGGATGAGGTAATATCTCTACATTTGGCATTATACTATTCTGTACTTTTTCTGTGCTTTGCCTATAACTGCCAGAGAATGAAGCAAAAGCTGCTCGTGTTTATAATCTAATAAGCATGTAAATGGTCAGTTTAAATTAATTTGCTTGTAAAATGTGTTTTACCCATCAGAGGCAGTAGATTATAGGCATTCATTGGGATTCAGCATTTTGTCTCTTTCTTAGAGATGCCAGAGGTTAGGTTTTATTTTAATTTTTAAGGAATGGCTGAATAACCTCAAAGCCAAGTTAATTCTAGGTCTCTTTCTACTCAGTGATTTTTAAAAGCATGTAATATATATTCTGTCTTCTCATTTTGTGCATACCACTTGGTATTGTTTGGGTTTTGGTCTCTGTTAAATGTATTATCCCACCATGTTGTAAATGCCTTTTTAAAGAACTTATTAAAATCTGTAGTCCTGCAGTGTAGCCATGTTTTGTGCAGGTACAGATGGTCCTTGACTTATGATGGTTCACTTTACAGCTTTTCAGTGAAAGTGATATGCTTTCCTTAGAAACCGTACTTTGAATTTTTAAGTTTGATATTTTTCCTAATTAGTAATATACTGTAAACTGCAGCTCCCAGTCAGCCACATGATCATTGAGGGTAGACAGCCAATACACTATGGTATACAATATTGTCAGGTGATTTTGCCCACCTGTAAGCTAAGGTAAGTGGATATCTACATAATGTAGTAACTACCTTAATTAGCACGTTAAAGGGAGGCTGGGCTAAGTGATGATGTTCAGTTGGTTTGGGCAATATTTTCAACTTAGGTTGAGTTTATCAGAACATAATCCCATTGTAAGTCAAGGAGCATCTGTAGTATATCAGTGTTATTAATATTTTGACATGAGGTATTTTTCACATTTGGTTTGTGTTTTATTATTATTATTTTGAGACAGAGACTCACTCTGTCACTCAGATTATAGTGGCATGATTTCAGCTCACTGCAGCCTCTGCCTCCCGGCTTCAGGTGATTCTCATGCCTCAGCCTCCTGAGTAGCTGAGATTACAAATGTGTACCACGACAACTCAGCTAATTTTTGTATTTTTAGTAGAATTGAGGGTTTCGCCATGTTGGCCAGGCTGGTCTTGACTTCCTGACCTCAGGTGATTCTCCTGCCTTCCCCTCTACCTCCTGAAGTGCTAGGGTTACAGCCGTGAGCCACCAGCCTGGCCTAGTTTGGGTTTTAGGTAACATAATTTAATTCAAATCAGGCTTTTGTCTTTAAGTAGTGAGAGATAACATTTATTAATCACTGTTTACCAGCACTAAGTGCTTTACATGTTTTTTCATTTAATTTTTACAACAAACCTATAATGTAGACATCCAAATTTTAATTTGCTTATAAAACATGTTTTATACTTCAGATGCAGTAGATAGGCATTCATAGGAATTCAGCTTTTTGTCTTTTTATTACAGATGCTGGAGTTTAATTTTTAAGTAGAGGAGTGGCTGAATAAACTGAAAGCCAAGTTTTTTCTAAGTCTCTGTAAAGTAGTTACTACATTATGTAGACATCCAAATTCTAGTTTTATAATTTTACATTTGTAGAACTGAAGTACATTCTGTAACATTCCCACACAGCTAAGTAATGAAGGAGGCAAGATTTGAACCTGGCAGTTTAGCTCCAGAACACCTGTATGTTTTCTTTCTTTTTTTTTTTTTTTTTTCCTGAGACAGAGTCTCACTCTGTCGCCCAGGCTGGAGTGCAATGGCACGATCTCGGCTCACTGCAACTTCTGCCTCCCAGGTTCAAGTGATTCTCCTGCCTTAGCCTCCCAAGTAGCTGGAATTACAGGTGTGTGCCACCATGCACAGCCAAGTTTTGTATTTTTAGTACAGACAGGGCTTCACCGTATTGGCCAGGCTGGTCTTAAACTCTTGACCTCAGGTGATCCGCCCTCCTTGGCCTGCCAAAGTGCTAGGATTACAAGCATGAGCCACCACACCCAGCCTCGGAAGCCATACTTGTAAACACTATACCATATTACCTCTTTAATGAGAATCATCACATTAAAATTCTATTGTAGAGCTGGGTACGGAGGTATATGCCTTTAGTCCTAGCTACTCAGTAGACTGAGGCAAGAGGATCACTGGAGTCCAGGACGTGCAGACGGAAGTGAGCTGTGATTATGCCACTGCACTCCAGCCTGGGTGACAGTGAAATGTTGTCTCTAGGAATAAATTAATTAATTAAATTCTGTTTCAGAAAGTGGAGTTTTATCTGCAGTGTAGATTGTTTTTTCCCTAGAAGATAGGCATTATAGATTTTGCCCCTTTCTGAATATTTGACTCTGCAGTGTGGGAGAGAATTTATTGTATTCAACCAGAAACATTTCATGGATGCTTTTGTTGGATGATGTCTTATTCTTTGACCATGTATTACATACCCAAGTCCTTAGACATTATTTTATTGTTTTTAAAATTGTCTTTTCTTTATGCTACAGGCAGATAAGTTGCTGTCACAGGATTTTGTGCAGATAATGGAGGATATTATTCTCACGCTACCTAAAAACAGGCAGATTTTACTATATTCCGCTACTTTCCCTCTTAGTGTACAGAAGTTCATGGTGAGTATAAATCTGTACTTGGAATCGGTGCCATCCTGTGTGGCCTATGAGTATGCTTTATTTGCAATTACATCTTCCTATCTGTGAATATACTTTATGCTAATTATTTCAAGCCTTTGGCTTTTTCTTCAGTTGATCAATTAAAGATTCGTTGTATTGGCCGGGCGCGGTGGCTCAAGCCTGTAATCCTAGCACTTTGGGAGGCCGAGGCGGGTGGATCACAAGGTCAAGAGATCGAGACCATCCTGGTCAACATGGTGAAACCCCGTCTCTACTAAAAATACAAAACATTAGCTGGGCATGGTGGCACGTGCCTGTAAGCCCAGCTACTCAGGAGGCTGAGGCAGGAGAATTGCCTGAACCCAGGAGGCGGAGACTGCGGTGAGCCGAGATCGCGCCCTTGCACTCCAGCCTGGGTAACATGAGTGAAACTCCGTCTCAAAAAAAAAGAAAAAAAAAAAAAAGATTTTTTTTAAAAAAATTTCTTTTTTTTTTTTTTTTTTTTTAAATTTTTCATACACAAACTGAAACATCTGTCTCACAATTTGATTAGGGCACTTAATTTGTATCTGCATTGGCCACCAGTCATCATCAACTGTGCAATCTAAAAACCACTCACAAGCTGCCTGACTGTTATTAAACTGTTTGGTTAACAGTTCAATCCACTGAAGCATTGTGGGCTTTTCTTTTGAATGAATGTCTCTAGGACAAAGGAAGTGCTTAACTTTGCTGTCATTAGGGACACAGCTTTATGATCTGGTAATGTATTGGGAAAATTAACTGACTTTTTAAGAAAGTTGTAATAGTGGCTGGGTGCGGTGGCTCACACCTGTAATCCTAGCACTTTGGGAGGCCGAGGTGGCTGGATCACCTGAGGTCAGGAGTTCAAGACCAGCCTGGCCATCATGGTAAAACCTCATCTTAAAAAAATAGTAAGAATTTTAAAAAAAAAAGAAGAAGAAGAAAGTTATAATAGTAACTTGATTAAATTCCTCGTCTTTCACTTAGTTTTTGGTGTCAAGATGGCATAGCCATTGATGCTAGGTTAATTGATTACAGTATTATTCTATATACGAAACAGAGATTGAGTATCCTAAACTGAAATCCAAAATGTCAGAATTTGAAACCTTTTGAGTCACCAATATGATGCTGAAAGGAAATGTTCTTTGGATTTTGAATTTTCAAATTAAGGATGCTCAGTCAGTAAGTACAATGCACATATTCCAAACCTAGAAAAAAAATTAAAACCTGAAACACTTCTGATGCTAAGCATTTTGGATAAGGAATACTTAACCTATAGTAACTTCGCTGCATTTTTGAGATCTTACGTCTTACTGGCCTGCTTTTGTCAGGCCAGGTGTGGTGGCTCATACCTGTAATCTCAGCACTTTGGGAGGCCAAGCCAGGCAGATCATGAGATCAGGAGTTCGAGACCAGCCTGGCCAACATGGTGAAACCCCGTCTCTACTAAAAATATAAAAATTATCCTGGTGTGATGGCATGTGCCTGTAATCCCAGCTACTCAGGAAGGCTGAGGCAGGAGAACTGCTTGAACCTGAGAGGTAGAGATTGCAGTGAGCCAAGATTGCACCATTGCACTCCAGCCTGGGTGACAGAGCAAAATTCCATCTTGGGGGGAAAAAAAATTCTATCATGACAGATCATATATTTTGTTTTGAAGAGTTGCATCCCTTACAGCAAGAGTTTATCAGAGAGAAATGTATAGGGAATATTTGGAATTTGATATAAACTGCTTTCATTTAAGAATAAGAATAAGACTCTTTTTTGTTTGCTTGTTTTTGTTTGTTTGTTTTTTAGAATTCCCATTTGCAGAAACCCTATGAGATTAACCTGATGGAGGAACTAACTCTCAAAGGAGTAACCCAGTACTACGCATATGTAACTGAGCGCCAAAAAGTACACTGCCTCAACACACTTTTCTCCAGGGTAAGAAGTAGGCTTCTGCTATTGAATATTATCTATCATTTAATCCCAGTAAAACAGATGATTTCATCAATTTTCCCACCATCTTCACTATATAAAAGTTCATAGTGTTTCCGGCTGGGCACAATGGCTCATGCCTATAATCCCAGCACTTTGGGAGACCGGGGCAGGTGGATGACAAGGTCAGGAGTTTGAGACCAGCTTTGCCAATATGGTGTAACCCCGTCTCTACTAAAACCCCAAAAATAGCTGGGTGTGGTAGCAGCACGTATCTGTAATCCCAGGTACTTGGGAGGCTGAGGCTAGAGAATTGCTTGAACCCAGAAGGGGGAGGTTGCAATGAGCCGAGATCTTGCCATTGCACTCCATCTCCGGGCGACAGGGTAAGATTTCGTCTCAAGCGGAAGAAATAAAAAAACGATTTTAAAAAAAGTTCATAGTGTTTCCTAAAAGGTAATTTTAGTGGTTGACCTAAACTTGATAATTAAATGATTAACAAGTCGCAGATACTTTCGAATTGTTTCTAAAATACTTTGATTTTTATTAGGTTAATCCTCATTATTTACAGATTTCATATTTGTGAATTAGCTTAGTCACTAGAATTTATTTGTAACTCCAGAATTAATACTCAGGGCACTTTAGCTGTCATTTGTGGGCATGTGCAATGTGATGAAGAGTTTGAGTCACCTGACACACACATTCCCAGCTGAGGTTGAAGAAGGCAATGCTGTGTCTTGTTTTAGCTCTCATACTGTGAACAAGTGTCCTTGTTCACAGTATGGGCCATGTTTTTCAAGTGTTTATTGCTGAATTCACTGTTTTAATTGGCCCCTACACATGGTGCTGAAATGCTGCCCAGTGCTAGTGGGCATTGGTTGTGACTAAATTAAAGAAGGTTTTCTTGGCCATGTGCAGTGGCACATGCATGTAATCACAGCACTTTGGGAGGCCGAGGCGGGCAGATCATCTGAGGTCAGGAGTTGGAGACCAGCCTGGCTAACATGATGAAACCCTGTCTCTACTAAAAATACCAAAAAATTAGCCGGGCGTGGTGGCAGTCACCTGTAATCCCAGCTACTCAGGAGTCTGAGGCAGGAGAATCACTTGAACCCAGGAGGTGGAGGTTACAGTGAGAGCCAAGATTGTGCCATTACACTCCAGCCTGGGCAACAAGAGTGAAACTCTGTCTCAAAAAAGAAAAAAAAAGAGGTACTCTTAAATGGAAACACATAAAATATAGCTACCTGGAATAAGATAATCAGTTGTGTTACTCTCATTGACAGTTATGTGGCCCTTAAGAAATATACTCTAACACAATAAAACTTAGACATTATTATCTTGCATCTACTAAATAAAAAGTATTTACAGTTTTTACAACTTACTATCTCTCTCATCTCAAGAGATTCTAAGTTTTAGACCATGCTAATATTTCTCGTTTCTCATTAGTGTTTTCAAGATTTGGCAAACCAGATGAAGTTTTTATTTCTCTGTCTCATGCTTATTTTTTCTGTGATCAGCTTCAGATAAACCAGTCGATCATTTTCTGTAACTCCTCTCAGCGAGTTGAATTGCTAGCCAAGAAGATTTCTCAACTGGGTTATTCTTGCTTCTATATTCATGCTAAAATGAGGCAGGTGAGTATAAAACTAGAACTTGCACAAATTTAACAAGAAATCTCTTTTTTACTTGGTTTTAATGTACTTCCAAATGTCCTGAGTTTAAGAATAAACTGTTCCTTAGTAGCCAAAGGACCCTTCATTTTGACCTCCCTGGGGTCAATTTTCTTTTTTTTGTTTTGGTTTGGTTTGGTTTGTTTTTAGAGATGGGGTCTCGCTATGTTGCCCAGGATGGAGTGCAGTGGCTACTACAGACGCGATCTCACTACTGATCAGCATGGGAGTTTTGACCTGCTCCGTTTGTGAACTGGGCTGGTTCACCCCTCCTTAGGCAACCTGGTGGTCCTCCGCTCCCCAGAGGTCACCATATTGAAGCCGAACTTATTGCTGACACCTGATCGGCATAGTACACTACAGCCCAGAACTCCTGGACTCGAGATCCTCCAGCCTCAGCCTCTCAAGTAGCTGGAGTCCCAGGCACGTGCCACTGCGCCCAGCTGTTTTGTTTTGTTTTTGAGATCAAGTCCTGCTCTGTCGCTCAGGCTAGAGTGCAGCGGCGTGATCTTGGCTCACTGCAACCTCTGCCTCCTAGGTTCCAGCAGTTCTCCTGCCTCAGCCTCCTGAGTAGCTGGGACTACCGGCGTGTGCCACCATGCCCAGCTAATTTTTTTTTTTTTTTTTTTTTTAAGTAGGGACAGGTTTTTTCCATGTTGGCCAGGCTGGTCTCGAACTCCTGACCTCGTGATCTGCCCGCCTCAGCCTCCCAAAGTGCTGAGATTACAGAAGTGAGCTACCGCACCGGGCCTGAGGTCCAATTTTCTAGCAATAAAATCGGGATAATAGTACATAATTCATAAGTTACAGGGTTGTTAGGTTGCTTCGGCAGCACGTATACTAAAATTGGAATGATGCAGAGAAGATTAGCATGGCCCCTGTGCAAGGACGACACGCAAATTCGTGAAGTGTTCCATATTTTTTTAAAAAGAAAAAAAGACATGACTACTTTATAAGCTGTCAAGCATGATACAAATGTAATATTTTATTCTTTCCTTCCTTCCTCTGTCTGATACGGTGCAGTAACCACTAGCCATATGTGGCAATTTAAATCAGTTAAAATTAAATTTAAAAGTCAGTTTGTCAGTCACAGCCACATTTCAAGTGCTCAGCACCTGTGACTGCGGGATCACTGGAAGTATAAATGAAGAATATTTCCTTTATTACAGAAGTTTCTACTGGACAGCACTGCTCTTCATTTTTAACTAAATATGGCCCCTCAGCTGACTGATTTTTTTTTTTCTTTACTCTTTGCCTTTAGAAAGAGATGGAATGTCTAAATTTCAGAATTTGGTTTAACAAAAAATAATTTAAAACTATAGGCTGAGGGCCGGCTATGGTGGCTCACGCCTGTAATCCAAGCACTTTGGAGGCCAAGGCAGGCGGATCACCTGAGGTCGGGAGTTCAAAACCAGCCTGACCAACATGGTGAAACCCGGTCTTTTAAAAAAAAAAAAAAAAATATATATATATATATATATAGGCTGGTCAAGGTGGATAACGCCTGTAATTCCAGTACTTCAGGAGGCTGAGGCAGGAGGATCACCTGAGGTCAGGAGTTCAAGACCGGTCTGACCAACATGGAGAAACCCCATCTCCACTAAGAAAACAAAACTAGTTAGGCATGGTGGCACATTCCTGTAAGCCCACCTTGTAGGGAGGCTGAGGCAGGAAAATTGCTTGAACCTGGGAGGCAGAGGTTGCTGTGAGCCAAGATCTCGCCACTGCACTCCAGCCTAGGCAACAAGAGCAAAACTTCATCTCAAAAAAAAAAAAAAAAAAAAAAACTATAACAAGATGACTTTTTTGATAACTACATTATGAAATTTTATAAGTAAACAGTTTCTGTAGCTGATTAGATTTTGAAAGCAGCTTATGTCATGGATCACTTACAATGGTAGAACTGATTAGGAGAAATTTCTATGGGAAATTTGGGACTGTATATGAGTGCTAATCAAATGGAATACATTGCTTTCTCCTAGGAACATCGAAATCGTGTATTTCATGATTTCCGAAATGGCTTATGCCGCAATCTTGTTTGCACTGGTAAGTATTTTTGTATTTCCTTTACCCAGTGTTTTTCTCCCAAGTTGTTTTTTGCTTTCTCTGTTCATGTTACACAGTGCAACCTGTGACATGGTCTAGCACATCTAGCACAATCCTACCACTTTTAAGATTTCTGAAGTTGAAAATGAACTTATATTAGCCCGATGTTGGGTTCCATATCTATTCTGGCACTCATCTTATTCTAGCACTTTTATACCTCATCTCTGTCTTTTTTTTTTTTTTTTTTTTTTTTTTTTTTTTTTTTTAAACCGAGTCACTCTGTCGCTCAGGCTGGAGTGCAGTGGTGCCACCTCGACTCGCTGCAACCTCCGCCTCCCAGGTTCAAATGATTCTCATTTCAGCCTCCCAAGTAGCTGAGATGATAGGTACTCACTACCATGCCTGACTCATTTTTGTATTTTTAGTAGAGATGGGATTTCACCATGTTGGCCAGGCTGGTCTCTAACTCCTGACCTCTGATGGTAATCCACCCACCTTGGCCTCCCAAAGTTCGGGGATTACAGGTGTGAGCCACCACTCCTGGCAGTTGAGCTTTTAAAAATGGTTACTTGCAAGATTTCTTTAGATACGTTCTTGAAGTACCAATACTAAAAAGCATATATAAAATACCACTCCTTCAGAAGAGTGTGGTTTAATTGGAGAGAAAAAGGGTACATTAGGAGTCTAAGGCAGTGCCCACACTTCCTTTAAAGTGCCAGACAGTAAATATTTCAGACTTTCCACACTAATAGGTCTCTATTACAGATACTCAGTTCTGCCATTGTATCTCAGAAGTAGCGTTAGACAATACATAAACAAATGGGCATGGCTATATTGCAGTAAATACTTACAAAATCATTCTAGATCCACAGGCAGTAAAGGTGACTTGCAAATGGGAAGTATGTGTATAGTAAGTAATCCCAGGTGTTCATAGGAGAGTAATATAACTAGCTGAGATGGTTTGAGAGAGATGGAATTTTAATTGGCTTTCTGGGCTAGGTAAGTTTCAAACATACGGATTAAATTTTAGGGGACTGATGGTTGGATGGCTAAGAAGATAAGTTTGAGGAAGGGTAAGTGAACAATTTTGATAGTGAAAAAAATCTTAGGGCCAGGCTTGGTGACTCACGCCTGTAATCCCAACACTTTGGGAGGTCAAGACACGCGGATCACTTGAGGTCAGGAGTTTGAGACCAGCCTGACCAATATAGAGAAACCCCATCTCTACTAAAAATAAAAAAAAATTAGCCAGGCGTGGTGGCTCATGCCTGTAATCCCAGCTACATGGGAGGCTGAGGCAGGAGAATCTCTTGAACTTGGGAGGCAGTCATTTGCAGTGAGCCAGGATTGTGCCACTACACTCCATGCGACAGAGTGAGACTCCCTCTCAAAACAAAATTGAGATGTGTTAAGGAAGGAAATTACTACCAAGCATAACATGCAGGACTTTGTTGTGCTTGTTGTTGTTTTTGTTTCTGAGACAGTTTCCCTCTTGTCGCCTAGGCTGGAGTGCAGTGGCATGATCTCAGCGTACTGCAGCTTCCACCTCCCAGGTTCCAGTGATTTCTCGTGCCGCAGCATTCCGAGTAGCTGGCACTACAGGCACACACCATCATGCCCAGCTCAATTTTCCATTTTTAATAGGGGTGATTTCACCATGTTGGCCAGGCTGGTCTCGAACTCTTGACTTTAAGTGGTCTGCTTGCCTCTGCCTTCCAAAGTGCTAAGATTACAGGCATGAGCCACTGAGCCTGGCCTAGAGAATTTTGAGTATCGATTTAAATTTTATCTAGTGGCAACTTAAAATAACGAGCTAGAAATGTAAAGCAATGTCTTAGCAATATCAGTTTGACAATCACGGATTGTAGTATTTTGGAGTGCTGAGCTAATAGAAACAAGGAAAGCTAGTTATTATCTTCCTGTAAGCTGTGTTTTCAGAGCTTGAACTAGCTTACCCAAGACTTGTTAAAAATCATTTAGCAGAATGGGATGAGTGAATTCTAAACAAAGAATAATTATTGCTTGTCAAATTAATCTTCTTTTTGAAGTATTAAAGATTTATACAACAGACTTTTAAAAAATACACTTAAGTTTTGAATTAAATACTGAAATAAACAGTTTCTTTATTCATCCTCTTCCTCCTCTGTTTTGTCCTCGTCTTCATTTTCTTCCTCCACCTTTTTCCGGGCAACTTTAGCAGGACTCTTTGCACCATCAAGCTTTCCTTTTGACTTACACTCAACAACAGCCTTCTCATACTTCTCCTTCACCTTTGTTGCCTTAGTGATGTAAGGCTGCTTTTCACTGTCATTTAAGTCACTCCACATCTCACCCAGCTTTTTTGCTGTGTGTCCAATAGAGATGCCAGGGTTTGTGGATTTTATCTTGGGGCAGAATTCTGAACAGAACAGGAGAGGAATCCAGATGGGGGCCTTTTGTGGGGGTGTTAGGATCCTCCTCCTCCTTGCCTTCCTTAGCTGGTCCATAATCCTTCATTTCCTGATCACAGTGCACTTTATCCACCTTTGTCATTTTATCAAATTTAGCTTTCTCCTTCCCAGACATTGTCTTTGATCTCTCAGAGTATTTCTTGAAAAATTCCGCAAAATTGACAGGGACCTCTGGGTTTTTCTCTTTATATTCTTCTCTGCACGTCTGCACAAAGAAAGCATAGGCAGACATCTTGCCCTTTCCTTTCTTGGTGTAACCTTTAGCCATCCTGACTGTATTGTTCACTAGTCTCGGCCTTTTTTTGTTTTTTTTGTTTTGTTTTGTTTTTGAGACAGAGTCTCACTGTGTCACCCAGGCTGGAGTGCAGTGGCACGGTCTCGGCTCACTGCAACCTCCACCTCCTGGGTTCAAGCAATTATCCTGCCTCAGTCTCCCGAGTAGCTGGGATTACAGGTAGCAGCCACCATACCCAGCTAATTTTTGTATTTTTAGTAGAGACAGGGTTTTACCATGTTGGCCACGCTGGTCTCAACCTCCTGACCTCATGATCTGCCCACCTCGGCCTCCCAAAGTGCTGGGATTTCAGGCGTGCGCCACTCATCTGGCAACCTTTTTATTTTATTTTTTATTTTTTTGAGACGGAGTTTCGCTCTTGTTACCCAGGCTGGAGTGCAATGGCGCGATCTTGGCTCACCGCACCCTCCGCCTCCCGGGTTCAGGCAATTCTCCTGCCTCAGCCTCCTGAGTAGCTGGGATTACAGGCACGCGCCACCATGCCCAGCTAATTTTTTGTATTTTTAGTAGAGACGGGGTTTCACCGTGTTGACCAGGATGGTCTCGATCTCTTGACCTCGTGATCCACCCGCCTCGGCCTCCCACAGTGCTGGGATTACAGGCTTGAGCCACCGCGCCCAGCCCTTTTTATTTTTTTTTTAAGAGACAATGTTTCACTTTGTCACCCAGGCTAGACTGCATTGGCATGATCCTAGCTCACTGTAGCCTCAAACTCCTTGGCTCATGTGATCCTCCCACCTCTGCTTTGGCGGGAGGCATTTGACACCACACCTAGATAATTAAAAAATTTTTCTTCTTGAAATGAAGTCTCATTGTGTTGTCCAGGCTAGTCTCCCAAAGTGCTGGGATTACTGGTGGGAGTGCGCGCAGTCTCTTTTAGACCATTTTTTAAAACTTGTTTACAGTTACTGGAAAGAAGCAACTTGTGAGCGGAAAGTTATTTATATATGTAAATATAAATTTATATATAATGTGATTATCAAAGGTAATGCCAGTAATTTGCGAATGCATTTGAATAACTGAATGAAATTAATAGGTTAGGCTAGAAATAGGTAATTAGGTTATGCTAGAAATGTGTGTTGCAGAGTATTGTACTGAGAAGCATTTCTAATTGAAAGACAAAATGAAAATCATCTTTTTTTTTTCTTTAAGATCTGTTTACCCGAGGTATTGATATACAAGCTGTGAATGTGGTAATAAACTTTGATTTCCCAAAGCTGGCAGAGACCTATCTCCATCGTATTGGAAGATCAGGTGAGGAAAAGGAGGTCATCTTCTTGCTAGAAGTTCTTTTTTGAGACATGTAATCACTAAATTTTGTTCGTTTGTGAAATAGAGTTCAGTAGCTATGAGAATAGTGAATTAACACTAATTCAGTTGTTTGGTATTTAAGACTAATTTCTAATTCTTCTGGAACATTTATTAAGAAAAGTTAAAATAACTTTGCTTAATTTGAGATGAAATTAACACATGAGAACTTTATTCATTAGGTGGTATGATGTGTGACTATAGTTTGTATTTTATGGCAACTTTTGACACAGATGAGGAGCCATTTTGTCATTTGAAAAAGATAAAGTACTACTTTGGGGCTGTAAAACCTGAAATTGTAGGGAAAGGTGTGTTTGAAGACCATTAAGAAGTTGTTTTGCGTACTAAGAATAGCACTGAACAGAATTACCAATCCTGTGTGGTTTTGCCACTACTTCACTTAAAAAAAAATTGCATGATTTGCATTGATTTTCAGATTTTATTCATTAAAATTAATTTTTAAACAAATTTTTTATTAGGTCGCTTTGGTCATCTTGGCTTAGCCATCAACTTGATCACATATGATGATCGCTTCAACCTGAAAAGTATTGAGGAGCAGCTGGGAACAGAAATTAAACCTATTCCAAGCAACATTGACAAGAGCCTGTATGTGGCAGAATACCACAGCGAGCCAGTAGAAGATGAGAAACCTTAACAAGCATGTACGTCCCTGACAGTATAGCTAAGAGGAACCTTTAAATGAAGGAAATCAAATTCTTCTTTTCTGGGGGAAATTTGATGTCACACGATATATAATAGCAATAAAGGGTAAAGATACCTGCTGACATAAATGACAGTAAATAATATGTCTTCTGGGAGGTTGAAGTCTCATTCGAGAATCTATAAATGTTCTTGAATGCAGCTTCCTGAATAATGAGATAGGTTAGCAAGTACTTAAAACATTCCGAGTCCTAAAATAATGAAAGCAAAAAAGAATCTTTTTCAGCAACTTGTTTTTCTTTTTGAGACAGGGTCTCACTCTGTCATCCAGGCTGGAGGGCAGTGGTGTAATCATAGCTGACTGGCAGCCTAGTTCTCCTGGGCTCCCACCTTAGCTTCCCGAGTAGCTGGAACTGTAGGTATATACATACCACCACACCTGGCTAATTTTTTTAATTTTTGGTAGAGAAGTGGTCTTTCGGCCGGGCACGGTGGCTCACGCCTGTAATCCAAGCACTTTGGAGGCCAAGGCGGGCGGATCACCTGAGGTCAGGAGTTCAAGACCAGCCTGACCAACATGGTGAAACCCCGTCTTTAAAAAAGAAAAAAAAAAAAAAAATTGGCCTTTCTTTGTTGCCCAGGCTAGTCTCGAACTCCTGAACTCAAGCAGTCTTCCTGCTTTGACCTCCCAAAGTGTTGGGATTACAGGCATGAACCACCTGCCTGGCCTTTTTGGCAGTTTTGTGGGGTTTTTGTTGTTTTTTGAGACAGTCTTGCTCTGTTGCCCAGGCTGGAGTACAGTAGCGCGATCACGGCTCACTGCAATCTCTGCCTCCAGGGTTCAGACCATTCTGGTGTGCCTCAGTCTCCTAAGTAGCTGGAATTACAGGCATGCTCCACCATGCCTGGCTAATTTTTGTATTTTTTAGTAGAGATGGAGTTTCACCATGTTGGCCAGGCTGGTTTTGAATTCCTGACCTCAAGTGATCTACCCAACTCAGTCTCCTAAAGTGCTGGGATGATAGGCATGAGCCACCACGCTCTGCCAGCAATTTTGAATATGAAAGTATTTACATTTCTGAAAATATAAAATGTTTTTAGCATTTACTCTTAATTTCTTTTTATTTTTAATTAATTTATTTATTTATTGAGATGGAATTTTAGTCTCACCCAGGCTGGAGTACAGTGGTGCCATCTTGGCTCACCACACGCTCCACCTCCCGGGTTCAAGCAATTCTCCTACCTCAGCCACCCAAGTAGCTAGGACTACAGGCTTGTACCACCATGCTTGGCTAATTTTTTATATTTTGAGTAGAGACGGGGTGTCACCATGCTGTTGAGGCTGGTCTGAAACTCGTGACCTTGTGATCCAACAGCCTCAGCTTCCCAAAGTGTTGGGATTATAGGCAGAGCCACCTCGCCCAGCCTACTCTTGATTTCTAATAAGTACATTAATAACTCTGGTAAAATTATTCATAATACCTTACTACCAAGTATTTAATGAGATTACGAGGATGGCTATCTTCTTAAAAATATCCACTCTATCCAGTCACAGTGGCTTATGCGTCTAATCCCAGCACTTTGGGAAGCCAAGGTGGGCAGATCACCTGAGGTCAGGAGTTCGAGACCAGCCTGGCAAACATGGTGAAACCTGTCTCTACTAAAAATACAAAAAATTAGCCAGGCATGGTGGTGAGTGTCTGAAATCTCAGCTACTTGGGAGGCTGAGGCAAAAGAATTGCTTGAACCTGGGAGGCAGAGGTTGCACTGAGCCAAGGTTGCAGCAAGCCAAGGTCGAGCTATTAACACTCCAGCCTGGGCAATAAGAGTGGAACTCTGAGGCCGGGCGCGGTGGCTCACACCTATAATCCCAGCACTTTGGGAGGCCGAGGCGGGTGGATCACGAGGTCAAGAGATCGAGACCATCCTGGTCAACATGGTGAAACCCCGTCTCTACTAAAAATACAAAAAATTAGCTGGGCATGGTGGCGCGTGCCTGTAATCCCAGCGACTCAGGAGGCTGAGGCAGGAGAATTGCCTGAACCCAGGAGGCGGAGGTTGCGGTGAGCCGAGATCGCGCCATTGCACTCCAGCCTGGGTAACAAGAGCAAGACTCCGTCTCAAAAAAAAAAAAAACAGTGGAACTCTGTCTCAAAAATAAATAAATAGATAAATAAATAACCCACTCTGATTTCCTGTACAACCTGTCCCCCATCTTTTCTTTTTTTATTTTTATTAAGATCGGGTCTCACTCTGTTGCCCAGGCTGGTTTCAAATGCCTAGGCTCAAGTAATCCTTCTATCTTGGCCTCCCAAATTGCTAGGATTATAGGTGTGAGCCACCATGCCTTGCCTCTATCATCTTTTGATGGCTATTGGGCTCTAGTCAGAAATGGACAAAACAAGGCTGAGCTTTAAGCAAGGTAGGTTGTTTCAGTTTTTTGGAAAATTTTATTTGACAAATCATAGTTTCTAAATTATAGGTGAACATCTTACCTATTTAAGTAATCTACTGTTACTTAAAAAAAATTTTTTTTTGGCCGAGTGTGGTGGCTCATGCCACATCCAAGCACTTTGGAGGCCAAGGCGGGCGAATCACCTGAGGTCGGGAGTTCAAGACCAGCCTGACCAACATGGTGAAATCCCGTCTTAAAAAAAAAAAAAATTTTTTTTTTTTTTTTTTTCCCCCCCCGCCTTTTTTTTTTTTTTTTTTTTTTTTTTTTGAGACGGAATTTCAGCTCTTGTTGCCTAGGCCGGAGTGCAGTGGCACAATCTTGGCTCACTGCCACCTCCCGGGTTCAAGCAATTCTTCTGCCTCAACCTTCCCAGTAGCTGGGTTTACAGGCAACATGCCATCAAGCCCAGCTAATTTCTGTTTTTTTTTTTTTTAGTAGAGACGGGGTTTCACCATGTTGGCCAGGCTGATCTCTATCTCTTTACTTTGTGATCTGCCTGCCTAAGCCTCCCAAAGTGTTGGGGTTACAGGCATGAGCCACTGCACCCAGCCTTCTTTTTTTTCTTCTTCAAATAGATAACAGGGTTTCACCATGTTTGGCCAGGCTGGTCTCAAATTCCTGATTTCAAGTGATCTGCCTACCTCAGCCTCTCAGAGTGCTGAGATTACAGGCGGAAGCCGCCTCACCCAATTGATTTTTACTTAAATACTTTTTAAATTACTCTTCACTTTACCCTGTTTTCCCTAAGCTAAACATCAGACACTTAAGACTTTAACAGTTACCAATGTTTGCTAGTACTTAGGCAGAGTATTCAGTTTGTGTAAGGTGAAATTCCCCCCCCCCCCCGCGATTTAATTGTTATGAGTGAGGACTGCCTGCTATCAGAACATTGATTGGGGCCCCCAATTTATCTCAGGGATGCCTACCAGAAATTCTTTTTTGTAGAGACTGGGTTTCACCATGTTGGTCAGGCTGATCTTACACTCCTGACCTCGTGATCCACCAGCCTCAGTCTCACAAACTGCTGAGATTACAGGTGTGCACCACTGTACCCAACCCAGAAATTCTTCAATCCTATAACCAGTAGATTCTGTAATAGGCATTGGGTCAGTAGAAACCACTAGAAAAGAGCATTTGGGATGAGGATTGTGAAAACCTATGTATCCTAGTTGTGTTGCTTTCAAAATGTTAATTTTTATTCCCTTTTTCTATAGGCTTTGACAAACTTACAGAAGGCTCGTTTGGATCTGTGACACATCGTTTTGGGGGGAATGCTCTTCTCTTTGTGGGTTTTTCATCTTTTATTTTGGAACTATGAAGACTTAAAGGAGCTCAGACATTTTTTCTTTTTTTAACTGGTGAAGAGAAAAAGGCTGAAAAGAAGGAATATACCTTTTTGTTCCACTTGTTTGCACTGTGTGCTGACTGAACATTAGTTGCACTAACTGCTGGTTTTTAAAAATGTTTTCTGGGGAAAGGGGACAAGGAAGGAAAAGAAAGAAGAGAAGGGGAGAAACCCTAAAAAGAGAAGAATCTTAATGAACACACAAGCTTGTCTATGATTTCAAAGTTCTCCAACAGCTGACTCTTGAGTGCATTTCAACTTCTCCCTGATTACTCATCCGTTTTTTAAGCCTGAAGAGCTTATTACTTATTTGTGCGAAGTGCCTTATGCTATGAGACCATTCAGAATATCATCTTTTAGACAGCCCAAGGAATCAACAATAATAACTCTTTCTTTCCTTTTTCTTTTTCTTTCAGAAAATTTTGTCTTTTCATTTGGTTTCAAGTTGAAGTCTCTTCCCTTTCTACCCAATACTCAAGCCCAGGGCTAGAAGATGAAACTTCCTAGTAATGTTAAACACCATTTTCTTTTTCTTTATGTGGAGGAGTTGATAATGCAACTGCAGTTCATCCGCACTGTAAATACATGTATTTAAAAAACAATCCCAAGTAAAAATTTCTTCTGGGCTGAGTAGATAAAATATCATCGCTCCCAAAGGAAAGAGCAGTCTATCATTGCAGGAGCCATATGACAAGCCTTTGTGCTCTATAGCAGACACTAAAGACTGGTTTACACGCGCCTCCAGTAGCAGTATGGCACTTGATGTGTAGACATGTCAGAGCCTTGAGCCTCTTTCCTCTGTGGCAAAGCGTGTCCCATAGAAAATTGGGTGTGTATACTTGTATAAACTTTGTAAATAAGTTTTTTTCTGGGTTCATATATATATATATACATATATATATTTTTTTTTGGATGAAGGTTGCTGGGATTAAGGGGATTAGAGTGATTATGGGAGCAGCTAAAGATGAGAGGGGCTCAGTTTTACGCAACACTAAATTCTAGAAAGTACTTCTTGTTGTAGAGAGCAGATTTCTATGGTACCCTGTGTTAGTAAAGGGACGCAGGAATCTGGGGTGTACTGTCTGCTGCCACGCTATCTCATCTAGTACCTTTGGAGTAGGTTGACCAGAGAGAGCAAGGAAGCTTCAAAACATTGATAATTGAAGATTTTTTTTAGAAGCTCTGATTTTGCTTCTTCCCCCTTTGTAAAAGTTTGCGGAATATTTCAAGCTCTGCGAAAGGGGGCAAAGATTAGTCTACCTTGCAGTGTGGGAATTCTGTTGAGTGGCAGTGTCGTTGAGTAGTATATATATAAAGCACAGATTTGCATTTCAGAATATTAGCCAGTACCGGCTTTGGTAACGTTAGCAGTTCTGGAGCTTAATTTTCTGTGGATCATTTCCTGTAGTGTGTAAATGTGTTGCCCTCTGCCCACCTTGATACATAAACTTGCAGGAATGGGCAACCTAAGAGCTGTTAACTTTCATGCTACAGAAAGCTGCTTGCCATTCTCTTGCGTTGTGACAAGAGTTGTTTTCTGTCATTTTGCACTGTAAATTGCTGGCAAATGCTTTACAGTCAATAGTGTTGCTTTAAATTGTGCCCCTCCCAACATGCTTGATGTTTGGCCTGATCTCCAGGCAAAAGGAGTGAGATAAATCAAAACCAGTGAACTTTTTTTTTTTAAATGTTTTTAATTCCCTTTTAACCCAGTGTACTAAGTCAATCAGGAGGCATCGGGAAAGGGGGAAAACAAAAAACAAAAAAAAATTGATTTCTATATTTCATTGTTTTTCAAAACCCTAAAATATTACAAAATAAGTCCAGCCATATACATTAACGTTTGAACTCTTCTGGACAAAGAAATCAGTTACTTGAAGTTGCTTTTTTGACTCTGCCTACTGCTGAGCAAACTTATTTGTGACACCCACAATTACTTGGAGATCAAAATCCTACAGATGCCTCCTGATTGGACAGAGCCCTAATTCCTTAACAACTGTAGCAAGAGCTGCGCGGTACAAACCCAAAAAGAGCAAGCTCATCTATTTGGAATCCAAGTCTCATACATTCTGTCCGGTCAATTTTGGTTACTAAATAGAAACCCTAATTAAGGAAATAACATTTTTCCAGGGAGGGGTGGGAGAGGGAATTTAAAAGGTGTCAACTTTTGACCAAAAAAATCTTGCCCTTGTACTGATGCAGCTCTCTTTCTCCCCCACCTCTTGCGAGATAAGAGGGATCATTCATATAGAAAAAAAGAGTGTAAATGCAATTCTGTATCTCGCTAGAGACCATGTGGGTGACTAAACAAAAAGTGCAGTCTCCTTTGCCAACTTTAGACTGCTCTACCTGGTGCCACATGCCTGTGGGTCCCTCTTAAAGCACAGACTTAAAATTGCAAGTATTACTGAAGTATAGCCTCTAATGAGGAGTGGCACTTAAACTATCTGGGACACCACCACTGGACACAGTCTTGTAGAGGCAGCTGTCCAGTTTTGGTGTTGACTCTTGAATAGGAATTGTGAAATGGAAAGATGCTCTAAGGACTAGGTCAAAGCCTGGTCTTTTCTTTTTTTTCTTTTTTGGTCCCTCATAATAAGCATTGTTACTGTTGGAAGTTGTTTTTGCTTCTTTCCAATATTGGGTATGTATTTTTTTAAGGTAATGGTAATATTTTCCAGTGGCTCATTTGGATGAGAACTACCCCCTATTTTTAATACTAAAACTACAACTCATGGTTTAGCCTTTGGTTGTATAGTTGTGTAATGGGCCATGGACTGTTACACACCTTGCCAACTTTAGGCCTATGTTTTTCCTTTCCCCGTATATTCTAATGGGGATATAAACTTTTGCCTTTCCCTTAGGAGTGGAATAAGTTTATTCTAAAATGATCTTTCATGGAAGTAAGGGAGAGGGAAACCTAAATATACCTCTTAAATTATTTCAAGTTGGTCCCAGCAGTATAAAATGGGTTGGCCCCAAAGGGTTGGGGGGTGGGCTTGGTTATCAGTATTTGTTTTCAGAATGAGATGGGAGCATCTTTCCTTTGCCACATGCTTTGTGCTTGATACCATCATGCTTGGTTCAAACAAGACAACACAGCCAAAGCCTTGAGTGTAAGTTTTTGGAATCAAAACATCTCATTCTGATGACTTTTTTTGTTGTTGTTTTTTTTTGTTTTTGTTTTTTGGGGTTTTTTGTTTTGTTTTTAATTAGGGCGGGAGGGAGGGTACTTTGCCCCCAAAAGGGAGGGTGTCTGCACTAAGGATTTAGAAACACTTTGGAAGCTCATAACCTCATCAGAAACTGCCTTTAGCCACACTCCTGACCTTCTAGATGAGTAACAAAAAGTGAAATAAGTTCTTGGGAATTAAGCCATGTTGTTTTAAGTTGCTATTTTTTCAGTGTTCTAGGGGGTCTTTAAATTTGTTACTGTGGAATCATTTTCTTGCCAAATACCTTTATCAAAATTATTGGCCTCGTGAGAGCTGAAGTAAGTCAGCTTTTTGGTGAACTTCAGTGGACTTCTGTGAGGTTGTAGGTGTACTTTGTATCTCTAAAAATAGTTTTTTAAAACTCCCAAAGAAAATCTACTCTCCTTTGTGATCTAAAAACTCATCTTTGGGGTAAAGAGTTAAGTGTCCAAAGGTTGTCATAGTTCATGAGGTCAGAGGGAGCTAGCCTGGCACCTGGACTCTGCCCCTCCACAGCTGACAGGTTCCAACAGAAGTGTATTTAAATTCTCCAGTAGACAGTGCTGGGCAAGGGAGGGGGTAGGGCTGGGTTATTAAGATACAGACAGGCTGCTGTATTTTAACCATTGGTTATGGGGGATGGGGCGCCTGGAGAAAACAAAGTCACTGTTCCCTTTTTTGAAACAAAGGAAAAGAATTTGTTTTTTTCTCAAGTAAAAATGGTAGAGAATTCCAGTGTCCCTAGCCACAAGGGACCAACCAGTTCCACTGAGAAGTGAACAGTGGGAACTCAAAATTTCTGAAACATTGGGGAAAGGGAAAATTGGCTTTCTGTTAATTGGCAGATGTTCCAGTGGGGCTGTGTTTTTGTTGGGATGTGTTATGTTGTATGTACTCATGGATCACAGTCTGCTGAGTTTATAAGGTTCAAAAAACATGGTAAAATCTTGATTTTTGTTAATTTATCTCAATAAAAGCCCACTGGAACTCCAGATGTGTGTGGTATATCCTTAGCAGCAGCTATGTCTGTAGGAATCTGGGCATTTTCCTCAGGTCATTCATAGTGTGAAGCAGTCAGACATTCTCAACACATTCCTGTGAAGCTCAGTTGAATTCAGAGCCCCTTCACCTGTTCTAGATATTGTCCCACCATGCTGTCAGATTTCACAGCCTAAGTAGAGAACCAAGATCATCAGTTGGGAAGAGGATAGATGTGGTCTGTAATATGTCCAAAGTTCTCAGTAATATCCTCCTACAATTGTTCTCAGATGTAAAGCTGAACAGACCCCCAAAACTAAGGTATACTACATCTAACAGTATGACTGGAATTCCTATGCTGAGAACTACAAATCACTGATGGAAATAAAAGATCTAAGCGGGGGAAGAGCAGACACTTAAAGCTGAGCACACTAACCTCACTACTTGCCTACCCAAAGAAATACTGGGGTATAGCTAAGAAAATCCAGTCAGTCCTCTGTATCTGGCTTTTCACATCTACACATTTAAACAACTGCAGTTCAAAAATATTAGGCCTACAGTGATTGGGTCTGTACTGAGTATGTACAGATTTTTCATTCCCTAAACTACAGTATGACAACTATCTACATAGCACTGTACTAGATGTGAGTAATCTGGAGATGACAAAGTATACAAGATGATGTCCATAGGTTATATGCAAACACTACATCACTTTAAAGGGACTTGAGCGTCTGAGGGTTTGGGTATTTGCAAGGGAGGGTGGAGTCCTGGAACCAACCCCCATGGATACCAAGGGACTAATAACTACGTGCAATACCTAAGTGCTGAAGCTACAAAACAAACTGATAGAAAAAAATCAGACCTAGATAAATAGAGTTGCTATGGTTCGTGGACTGGAAGTTTCACCAATTTGGTCTAGAGGGTCAATCCATTTCCAGTCAATCCAATAGGCTTTTTTGTAGATATCCACAAGATCTATACTATAAAATATAGAATATTATAAAATGCAGGAAGGCAAATTATAGAATGTCCACAATATTCTATAAAATATATGTGGAGTGCTGGGGTAGCAGTCACCTATAGTCCCAGCCACTGAGGAGGCTAAGATGGGAGGATCACTGGAGCCCAGGGGGTCCAGGCCAGTCTGGGCAACATAGTAAGACCTTGTCTCTAAAAAAGTAAAGTTGGGGTGCCGTGGTGGCTCAGGCCAGTTGCCCTGGTGCTTGAGGAGGTGAGGCTATGTGTTCAAGGCCAGCCTGGGCAACATAACCAATCATTCATTAAAAAAAAAAAAAAAAGTAATAAAATTTATATGGGAAGGCAAATTATGCCGTAACAATTTTGTAATAGAACAAAATTGGAAGAGTCACTACCTGATTTAGACTCACTATAAAGACGCAATAACGAATGTTGTATTGTTGCAAACAGGATAGACGTGTATGTTGATGGAACAATAGAGCCCAAAAGTAGACCTACACAAATATAGTTGATTTTTGACAGTGCAAAGGCAATTCAGTGGAGAAAAGATAGTCTTCAATAAGTGATATTGAATATATTGCAGAAACAATCTTTCATCCATTCCCTGTGTATTCTATAAAAATTAGTTCAAAATGGATCATACAACCGGGCATGGTGGCTCATGCCTGTAATCTCAGCAATTTGGGAGGCCGAGGCGGGCATATCACTTGAGACCAGGAGTTCGAGACTAACCTGGCCAACATTGCAAAACCCTGTCCCTACTAAAAATACAAAAATTAGCTGGGTGTGGTGGTGCATGCCTGTAGTCCCAGCTACTTGGGAGGCTGAGGCTCAAGAATCGCTTGAACCCTGGAGAGGGTGGTTGCAGTGAGCCAAGATCATGCCACTGCACTCCAGCCTGGGCAACAGAGTGAGACCCTATCTCAAAAAAACCGAAGTGGAACATAGACCTAAAAGTAGGACATAAAACTAAAATTTATAGAAGAAAACCAGGGAATCGGCCAAGTGTGGTGGCTCACTCCTGTAATCCCCACACTGTGAGAGGCTGAGATGGGCAGATCACAAGGTCAAGAGATTGAGACCATCCTGGCCAACTTGGTGAAACCCCATCTCTACTAAAAATACAAAAAATTAGCCAGGCGTGGTGGCAGGCACCTGTAATTCCAGCTACTTGGGAGGCCGAGGCAGGAGAATTGCTTGAACCTGGGAGGAGGAAATTGCAGTGAGCGGAGATCGCATCACTGCACTCCAGCCTGGGCAACAGAGTGAGACTCAATCTCAAAAAAAAAAGGAACCTGTGACCTGGTTGGGTTTGGCAGTAAGCTGAACATGCACAGGAGAAGACTGATGAGCAGTTGTTAAAACTTTCTTATCAATTAAGTGAGATGTGGAGGATATAAAATAAGTAGTAACTTAGAAATTAGAATTTAGTTAAATTCAGAAGTTAAGAAGAAAGCCGGGTCCAGTGGCACACACCTGTAGTCCCAGCTATTTGGGAGGTTAAAGCTGGGGAATCGCTTGAGTCCCTGGAGTTCAAATCCAGCTTGGGCAACATACTGAGTGCCTCTGTCTCTCTCTCTCTCTCTCTCTCTCTCTCTCTCTCTCTCTCTCTCTCTCTTTCTTTCTCTTTCTCCTCTCTCTCCCTCCCCTTTCTCTCCCTCCACCCCCCGCTTTCTCTCTCTGTCTAAAATAACTGTTAAGGAGGCTTCAATGATTTAAAGATTTTACATTGGAAAAGTACATTGGCTGGTTGCAGTGGCTCATGTCTGTAATCCCAACATTTTGGGAGGCCAAAGCAGGTGGATCACAAGGTCAGGAGTTCAAGACCAGCCTGGCCAAGATGATGAAACCCCGTCTCTACTAAAAATACAAAAAAATTAGCTGGGCATGGTGGCAGGAGCCTGTAATCCCAGCTATTTGGGAGGCTGAGGCAGAGAACTGCTTGAACCCAGGAGGTGGAGGTTGCAGTGAGATGAGATCGTGCCGCTGCACTCCAGCCTGGGCGACAGAGCAAGACTCCATCTCAAAAAAAAAAAAGCTGGGCATGGTGGTATGTGCCTGTAATTTCAGCTGCTCGGGAGGCTGAGGCAGGAGAATTGCCTGAACCCAGGAGGCGGAGGTTGCAGTGAGCTGAGTTCATGCCACTGCACTCCAGCCTGGGCAACAAAGCAAGCAGAGTGAGACTTGTGTCTCAAAAAAAAAAAAAAAAATCGGCCGGGCATGGTGGCTCAAGCCTGTAATCCCAGCACTTTGGGAGGCCGAGGCGGGTGGATCACGAGGTCAAGAGATCGAGACCATCCTGGTCAACATGGTGAAACCCCGTCTCTACTAAAAATACAAAAATTAGCTGGGCATGGTGGCGCACGCCTGTAGTCCCAGCTACTCAGGAGGCTGAGGCAGGAGAATTGCCTGAACCCAGGGGGCGGAGGTTGCGGTGAGCCGAGATCATGCCATTGCACTCCAGCCTGGGTAACAAGAGTGAAACTCCGTCTCAAAAAAAAAAAAAAAAAAAATCAAATCAGGTAACCTGTCTCCAAATTCAGTTCTTTGACTGCACTACCCTGTCTATGAAGTAATGTTGGGGGCCATGTCTTCAACCAGAGGAGCAAAGAGAATTGATATAAAAATCACTTAACCACACTGTACAGTCTGGTCTAAAGTTGGACTTCCTTGTAGACTGTGGGAAAGTATTGATTCCTACATCGCTGGCTGCCTTTCCACCATCCCATTAATCTAATTAATGGAATACACAGTGTAGCAGGTGCCTATGTCTTCAGGTCTATTCTCTAAGCTCACTGTCTCCACAGATTGACCTGTATGAACCACACTAACATTTCCTCTGGTCCCTGGCTTCCATTTGGGTTTGCTCACCAGGTATTCCCCCGAGGAAATCAGAGGGAGGGAAGAGAGTAAGTTCCTCTAATTCTCTAATTAGAGTTGGTCTGCCTCTAATTCCCTCCCTGCAAGATTGTCTCTAGCTGCTTTGTCCCTCAACCAAAGATCTCTTACTGAATCTGAATCTACCTGACTCTATCCTCATTTTCTGGTAACTGTTTCCTCTCCTTGTTAGGTTCTGCTACTAAGCCCTCTTCAAATTATGTTATTACAAATACACCGTCTGTTTCTTTTTGGGATCCAGACTGATAGAGTAATTGGTATCAGCAGTGGCCGCTGGAGACAGACTCTTAAAATGAGATTCTGGGATTGGGTTGGTCATACTTGAAGAACTCAATAACCTTTTTTTTTTTTTTTTTTCTTTTGAGACAGAGTCTTGCTCTGTGGCCAGGTGTCAGCCTGGAGTACAGTGGCGCAATCTCGGCTCACTGCAACCTCCGCCTCCCGGGTTCAAGAAATTCTCCTGCCTCAGCCTCTCGAATAGCTGGGACTACAGGCACGCACCACCATGCCCAGCTAATTTTTGTATTTTTTAGCAGAGACAGGGTTTCACCATGTTGGCCAGGATGGTCTCAATCTCTTGACCTCGTGATCCGCCTGCCTCAGCCTCCCAAAGTGCTGGGATTACAGGCATGAGCCACCGTGCCTGGCCCTCAATAACCTCTTTGTGGGAGGTGGTGGAGGGGAGACTGGGAATGGAACATGAGTAATCCATGGCATACAGTGAGTCACAATTCAAATTCTGACTGGTGGTACCATGGGATGAAGTGAGGTAAAGGACAAGCCATGGGGAAAGGAAGCTGTGACAATTATTATAGTGACAATGGGCACTTGAGTGCATACAGAAGAAGAAGAGAAAAATTAGGAACATGTAATTAACATTCAAAGAGGAAGAGAAGGCCGGGCACGGTGGCTCATGCCTGTAATCCCAGCACTTTGGGAGGCTGAGGCGGGTGGATCACAAGGTCAAGAGATCGAGACCATCCTGGCCAACACAGTGAGACCATGCCTCTACTAAAAATACAAAAATTAGTTGGGCGTGGTGGTGGGCATCTGTAGTCCCAGCTACTCGGGAAGCTGAGATAGGAGAATCGCTTGAACCCGGGAGGCAGATGTTGCAGTCCGTCAAGATCCTGCCACA